CTCTCTCTGTCTCTCTCTGTCTCTCTCTGTCTCTCTCTGTCTCTCTCTGTCTCTCTCTGTCTCTCTCTGTCTCTCTCTGTCTCTCTCTGTCTCTCTCTGTCTCTCTCTGTCTCTCTCTGTCTCTCTCTGTCTCTCTCTGTCTCTCTCTGTCTCTCTCTGTCTCTCTCTGTCTCTCTCTGTCTCTCTCTGTCTCTCTCTGTCTCTCTCTGTCTCTCTCTGTCTCTCTCTGTCTCTCTCTGTCTCTCTCTGTCTCTGTCTCTGTCTCTGTCTCTCTGTCTCTCTCTCTCTCTCTCTCTCTCTCTCTCTCTCTCTCTCTCTCTCTCTCTCTCTCTCTCTCTCTCTCTCTCTCTCTCTCTCTCTCTCTCTCTCTCTCTCTCTCTCTCTCTCTCTCTCTCTCTCTCTCTCTCTCTCTCTCTCTCTCTCTCTCTCTCTCTCTCTCTCTCTCTCTCTCTCTCTCTCTCTCTCTCTCTCTCTCTCTCTCTCTCTCTCTCTCTCTCTCTCTCTCTCTCTCTCTCTCTCTCTCTCTCTCTCTCTCTCTCTCTCTCTCTCTCTCTCTCTCTCTCTCTCTCTCTCTCTCTCTCTCTCTCTCTCTCTCTCTCTCTCTCTCTCTCTCTCTCTCTCTCTCTCTCTCTCTCTCTCAGGGACCTACGTAAGCTGAAGCATGATCAATCTAAATTATTTGCATTTGTTTTTTTTCTGTTTTTTTTCTGATCTTCTCTTTCTCATTTCTGTTGCATTCTCAGATGCTCCCATACGTCTATCATTCATAGTATACCCCCTTGGGCCGCACAGTCCATGTCGATTCCGAGACCGAAATGGTCGGAGGAGTGCACTGCGCCTGACCAGCACAGCTCTTGTAGCACCTACTACTCCTTTGTTGTCTTTGTCTTTTGTCTTTGTCTCTTTTATTACCCCTATTACATTGTAGGGATGTGCACATAGTATATAAAAAAAATAATAATAAAAAATACATAGTTGTGGCATAGTACCGGTCTGAACCCGCACTCTTCATCAATCCATAACCATCATAATAGCTTTGCAAGCAAGTGAAACATGACAGTAAGAAAGAGAGAGACAAAGAGACAAGTTCAGATTTCTGAAAGGCGAATTTTCCTTGAAGTGATGGAGCACCAGATTGCTGTACTTCGTCATCTACAACTACATGTAGGCTTCTGAGGAGATCGTCAATGTTGTCAAGGGCACAACCGGTGCAGGATCTGACAGAGGCAAGGTAAGGGTACCGTATTATCTCTATTATAAGCACGGTCCTTTATTTTTTCAATGTACCTCCGCCCCGTGCTATTAATGGAGACGTTCCTTTATTGGAGACTGTTCCATTATTATTTCAACCTCATTTCAGAGGCATGTTGCCATGCCAAATTCATGTCAGATACACACATTTCAGGGTGTTTTCGCCGGTACAGATAATGAATTTACACAGTGTGCTTATAATGGAGACTGAGCACTTTATTTTTTGAATGCCGCCCCAAGGTGTTCTATTATTGGAGACGTGCTATTATTGGAGACTGTGCTTATATTAGAGATAATACGGTATCTAACTGGTTGCTGTAAGCTTGGAAAGCCTGATAGCATACACAACTCGTCAAAAAAGCTGGCTAGAGTAGGTAGCTGCAGAGTAGCGGGAGTTGGCATTGTCGGAAAGGCTTCCAGGATTTGATAATAGTCTTGTACTTGCACTAGGTAACCATGGTAACGGCTGTGCTTGCGTGTTTGATGTACATTTTACTTGTAACTCCAGTAGCGGTTAGCTTGCTTGACATGGTCACTCTCTGCTCCACGTTTAGCTTCTCAGTCTGGTAACTAGAGAGACTGGCCATGTTCCAATGGTCGGTGATGCTCATTATGTCTCTGTAAGACACCCATCATGGCATGCAGTGCTTTCACGGTTGTTGACCGCAAGCAGTGGTTTGTGTACTTTACTGGTTCCTTTTTCACACTGCTTCCAGGGCCGGATCAGGTAAGTCTCTCCAGGTAAGCTGAGCTTGATCAGGTAAGTCTCTCAATGCTTGAATATACCCGTCACGTGATCATTCATGCCCTTCTACGGTGCCATTCAGGCCCTAGGGCCTGAAATGCCCTAAATAGGGAGGTTCCGGAGTACGGAACTAATTACTTATGTGTTTGCCGTCATTGCCTAGGTTACGATCGCAAACACGTCACGTTCGCGCGCTATGCCTTTTTATTTTGAAAATTTGTACGGAAATCAAAACGTCCTGTGGAAAATCGATGTTTCTCGTACCAAATTTGTACGCGAAAAATCTTTCTGCACCCGATGACGCAAAAGCTCCATACGAAACATGGTTCGTATGAAAGCCAGTCCACACGGATTCTCCGCGCCGAAAAATCGTATGGAGCACGCCTGGAAAATATCCGTACCGCCAATACGGTTTTTGGCACGGAAAATCGTACCCCGGAACCTCTCTAATATGATCGAATGGCACCGTAGGCGTAGGAGGGCATGAATGATCACGTGAGGGGTGTACAGTACGGTGCATCGTAGTAGAGCTGGCAGGCAGGGCACGATCAGGGGTTCTGGCCCTGGCTGTAAGCGCTCTGATTGGCTCAAACCCTGGCAACGATCACGTGGCATGTCTGAACTGTACGGTCGGTTGGATCCCGACTACATTGTAGTGATGTTTGGGTTGCGGGTAGACCCACGGTCGGTCTACCAAGTGCTATCTACTGCTCCTGATCCTGATCCTGGAGCATAATGATTTCAGTAGCCGATGAGGGTATGCTCCGCGGGTAGCAGTCGCGAGTCGTAAAGTGTCAATAATAATTTTCGACAGGAAGTGTGAGCTCTTTGTAGGGTGTACATGTAGCCTTTTTAGGAGCAACCACTCGTCTACTTTTCCCCGTCGACTGAGAAGTTCAAACAGTATTCTATTCCTATCATTATGCAGACATTGTGCGACTCACCGACTGGAGGTATTCATGACTCTGGCCAACTTCGGTAGGACCAGTATTCTATTCCTATCATTATGCAGACATTGTGCGACTCACCGACTGGAGGTATTCATGACTCTGGCCAACTTCGGTAGGATCAGTATTCTATTCCTATCATTATGCAGACATTGTGCGACTCACCGACTGGAGGTATTCATGACTCTGGCCAACTTCGGTAGGACCAGTATTCTATTCCTATCATTATGCAGACATTGTGCGACTCACCGACTGGAGGTATTCATGACTCTGGCCAACTTCGGTAGGACCAGTATTCTATTCCTATCATTATGCAGACATTGTGCGACTCACTGACTGGAGGTATTCATGACTCTGGCCAACTTCGGTAGGACCAGTATTCTATTCCTATCATTATGCAGACATTGTGCGACTCACCGACTGGAGGTATTCATGACTCTGGCCAACTTCGGTAGGACCAGTATTCTATTCCTATCATTATGCGACTCAGCGACTGGAGGTATTCATGACTCTGGCCAACTTCGGTAGGACCAGCATTGTGCAGAGGTGCCCCCCATAAAAAAATATTCAACACGCGGCCGCCAACCACATCACATCAGTTGACCAGTTAGAACGTCCCGCAGTACTGCCCGTCTGGTCAGCTACACTCACTGCTCAGTTCCCATGATATGCTCATGTCACTCAAACACCACGACAGCAATGATACGCCTCACTATTCTAGCCAAGATCCAAAAAAGCAGTAAATAAGTACTCAGACGGTGAGCCAAGGAGAATATTAAATTGAAACAAGGAAAACGGTGGGGCACAAACGCATAACTTGTGCCCCACCGTTTTCCTTGTTTCAAGCCGCAGTAAATAACAAAGCTGCTATGCTTTTTAAAGAGAAACTTGTGACCACTAACACATCACATGCACAAGACAAAATCAATTGAAGCAAAAGTGGCAATCAACATCACGGCTGTTCACGCGCAGGCACTTATAAATATGGCGTCGTTCGGTGCGATTTATGTAACATTATGCGAATTGTACAAATACGCGATGAGTTTGCGTTTTTGGAAGAAACTCATGTCGATCCTCGCGTGGTTCCATGATTTGGGATGCGAAACCAAGAGAAACGTTTTGAAAGCGCTCGAGCAAGATACTCGACTTTTCGGTAATTTGAGAGAGAAAGAGGGTGGAAAGGCGTCCTGGCCTGCCCAGTTAGCTGTCTTTCCGCTTCAAACTTGCTCGAACTACTTCTGGCAGTCTGGAGATTGATCTCGCCAGTGATTGTCCGCCTCTGCTTGGCGTGCTCGCGTGTACAACATTCAAGTTAGACATTTCGTAATCGTTCAATGCACAATAGGGTAGATATCACAATTTCAAGCTCACTTGGCCGGCTGCTGTCTTCTTCTACAATATCCCACATGCCGACTAAGCAATTTACAGCAGGAAGCAGCCTTATACACTCAACAGCAACTAAAGGGCCACCCCATTTGTCTTCCAAATCAAGAGAAAACAGGCTCCCGACTCGTCGCGCGTATTTAGAAGTTCACGCGCGTATTCTAATGACACTTGGGGAAGACAACCAGAGGATAGTCCTCTACCTGTGAAAATATCGATCTAAGCTGGGAAAAAATCAGGAAGGGCTTCTCGGAGCCGAGTTTGTCAGCGACGACACAAGGAGTATTCCAGAACGAAGCCAAAGTCGCACGACACAGAACAAATGTTTCTAGAAGGAAAGGCAGTCATGTGAGGTACGAGCGGAAAGCTTGAAACAAGACGCAGATGATCAGCGTGTTCCCCGGGCTGTCCGGGCTGACTAGTCTCCAAAATCCAGGGGAAACCATGGCCTACTCGTGTTCTGACGATTTGAAAATTCAAATTTTCTTGCCATTAAGTGGCGTGAAATCGCACAAAAAAACAGCCGTGACATAATAAAACGCATAGCTGCATGTTTATACGTGTCATGTGAACAAAGTTACGTATATAACGGGCTACGTGGCATATATGAAGAGAATCATCTTTCTTGTCTGGTCTGGCCGGGCCTTCAACACACACACACACGCACACACACACGCACACACACACACACACACACACACACACACACACACACACACACACACACACACACACACACACACACACACGCACACACGCACACACAAGTTCATCTGTCAACAGTAAAATAATCATGATCCAATATAGGTTGGCAATCGTAAACAGGGGGTGGGTACTAGAACAGCGACCACAAACAAGGATTTTCTTCAACTGGAAGCGCTACCGCAGGGGGGGGGGGGGATATGTGCAGTTGATATGCTCACACGACACAACTGTATAACTGTAGAGCAGGGAGTGCATTGAAATTATGTTCCAATGTGTACACTTGGTTGTCAACTTGTCTTGTTTAATTAAAGACAGTAGGTTTTGTATTTCCAGACAGTACCTTTTAAAACAGACCATCTTGAAATACAACACGCATTGGGACATTAGCATTACGCGAAGCCACAGCGAAGTTTGAGATTCCCCAGAGCCTTGTCGTTGCGCACTTTGAAGATACTCTTGTCGTGCAGGGTAAGCCTCTGCTGCTGCACATCGCAGACCGCCGTGATCATGTAAATCCGGTCGGGCATAGTCAGCGGGCATGGGCAACCGGCATCTCCACGCCTTACCTGAACTAGGACATCGTAGCGCTCCGTATTCGGCAGGAAGCTGCACCGAGCAGAACGATGGAGCTCTTTGCGCACGAGCATTGTGAACGTGAGCTGCTGATCGCTGCTGCAGTTTTCGGTGTCTGGTCGTAACTTGGCGATTATTGCTGAAAGCACCAAAACAACAATACAGAGAAAGCCGGTTGTGGGAAAACTAACGTGCACCAACGTACATACATCGTGCACGGTAAGCCAACGTACATACAGTATCACAATTCTCTCCCTCACACGCAATAACACACTCTCTTTTCTGAGTCCTGGTTAATTAGCCATGTGCTGCAAACCGAGAAAACTTCGCGCCAGTTTAGTTCACGGGGTTTGCGTGCAGATCAATTTGCACCTAGAAATATTTGCGATCAGAGTCAATTTCATTATGTTTTTACAGTTCTACGCTTTGTGGCGGCTTACCGTTGCAATTTCACACCTGTCGCAATAATCAAGAGTTTGTAGATTGTAACGGCTCTCCGGTTTACAGTGGTCAATCGTCTCTTTCTCTCTCTCTTGTGAGAGCATGCATGGTATTCGTTGCTCTAACTTCTGTCTTACATTCCTTGTTGCACCCGCCGGCTACCATGGCTCATTGATGGTCTCCCGACATGTAATACATTCCCTTTGACTTTGTGTCACCGCCAGATCCTTTTACTTCTGGTGTCCGTTTCATGTTCATCTATTGCTCGCTTGCGCGCTGGCATGCAACTGGCATGCTCTCATGCGTACAGTGCGTACAACGAAGAACTACGTCAGTTCCAGTTAGTTTTTAGAGTTGGCCGTGGAACAAACTTGTGTTTTTTTCGCTCTCCCACATTCTCTGCTTCTTCTCCAATAATTATATGAACACTGTTCACCAAAGAACTCGGTGTGTACGTTGTTGCGAGTGCGTGTCCGGGAGTGAGTTGGGGCGGTCGTGATTATCTAACACTCTCTCTCTCTCTCTCTCTGTCTCTCTCTGTCTCTCTCTGTCTCTCTCTGTCTCTCTCTCTGTCTCTCCCTGTCTCTGTCTCTGTCTCTCCCTCCCTCCCTCCCTCCCTCCCTCCCTCCCTCCCTCCCTCCCTCCCTCCCTCTCTCCCTCTCTCTCTCTCTCTCTCTCTCTCTCTCTCTCTCTCTCTCTCTCTCTCTCTCTCTCTCTCTCTCTCTCTCTCTCTCTCTCTCTCTCTCTCTCTCTCTCTCTCTCTCTCTCTCTCTCTCTCTCTCTCTCTCTCATCGTCAGGAACATGCGTGAGGAGATTCGAATCCGCACTGCTGCAAACACCGTACAAACCGAAAATTCAAATGAGCTTGACTTCATCTCGTTTTGCAAGGCGGGAGAGAAGCCAGTTCGCGTTCAGCCCAGACGAAAGTTGGTTACGACTGATCTCCTGTCAGCGGCCTCAGACTGGAAACTTCTTGTCAACTCAGTTAGTGCAAAGATTTCTTTCCCTAGCTGTGTTGCACTTACCACCCTAAGACCAGATATAGTTCTGTACTCGACGAGTCGTAGGATTGTATTCTGGATGGAGTTGACAGTTTGTGCTGAGGACAGATTCAGTGTCAGTAACTCGTGGAAGGACAGGCGGTATGCGGATCTGGCCGATCAATGCCGAGCAAACGGGTGCAGGTCGTTTCTTTTTCGGTTGAGGTAGGTGTGCGTGGTTTCATCCCGGACTCTCTTCGGAGAGCTCTGAAAGCGCTTGGGTTTTCTAATCGAAGAATAAAATTTATTTGTAATTTGTGCAGTAAGACGTCTCTGCGAAGCAGCTACATCATCTGGTTGCGACGTCAACAAAAACACTGGTTGGAAGATCCACCTTTCTGAGGTACTGTATGTGGGGCTCCGTATATTGAGGTGCGTTGAAATTTATTCTCTTTATCTTATTATTTCTTTTCTATAATTTCCCCATATGAGTTCCTATCAGTTGCTGTGAACACCTTGAGTGGAGAGCGCTTGCTTGAGCGTTGAACCGGGTTCTTAATCCACCATACCCAGTTCGCAAGGCTGGGCGGGGTTGTGAGCAGGCTTTCATTTCATCTTTTCTTATTATTTCTTATTATTTCTGCTTTTCATCTCATTACAAAAATTCTGCGCATTTTTTTTCTCCATCTGCGCATAAAATCTAGACTGACAACCTGCTTGTTAAATCATGCACCTGCTTTCAGGCGTAAAAACCCTGTTGTAGAGGTCTCAGTCCTCATTTGTTAGACTTACCTGTCTTTATAAATGTAACTTTCTCTCTCTCTCTCTCTCTCTCTCTCTCTCTCTCTCTCTCTCTCTCTCTTCCTTCATCGCTTTTATCGTGTACCCCAACCTACCTAGAGTTGACCTCTTGATGGAGCTGTAGAAGTTCATGATTCATCCTGCGAGGGCTCGGGCACTCTCATGTTTGAATCAGCAGGTGCTCACCTCACCTAATGGGCGCATAGTTGGAGTGCCTCTGTGGCATGTGCAGTCGTTAGACTACAGTCAGTATCGCCTATAGCGTTGGTGTTTGATTTTGAGCATTTTATCACTATAAGCGATCTATTGCTATGACCGATACTGCATACAATGTATGCGAGTGGGGTGTCAAACGACTCAGCGCGCCGTGCACATAATTATAGTATACGCACTACATACATGTACATGGTGTACAATGTCATGTAGCTGGCTGTAGCTCCTGACACACAAAGTCAGCATTTCCTCATGATGGAGGCATATTTTGGCAACTATTACTTGTACGAGCAAAACTCATCAAACAACACTCACTGGACAAGCTCTTCACGAAGAAGTAACACCCTGTTCTCCTCTGACATCGCTTGATTTTACATCAATCACTATAACCGATGCAAAAATAATGTGATAAAGGCCTTTTGAAATATGAATTTGCTCACTAGAGGCGATATTTTACTATAGACGATTATTACTATACGCGATATCTGTGTATACTTAGTTATGGCAAATGAAAACGAATTTGAGAAATTGATCACTATATCCGGTATATTACTATAGCCGCCAACCTTATAGGCGATACGGACTGTACATGTATCACAGAGTCCTAGGCTTCACCACTGTACTAACACTTGCCATTTGTATCTCGGCACACAGTAAAAATACAGGTGTCCACTCGACCAAGATCGCTTTCCCCGTCCATGGAGTCTATCAGAGTCAGAACAGTTTAGAAACGGTGACCACTTGCTCACTGCAACTGACAACCACCCGTCACGCCGTACCCTGCCTGTACGCAATATACCGTATACAGCGAGCTCTCCGCTACCACAAACGCTCTACGTTTACGGCTCACCAACAGGCCTCTGTTGGCTTCCCGAACTTCTCAAATTGCAATGTGTCCTCTTTTGTCTTTTGCCTTGTTCGCTATGGAATGCCGTGATTGCGTATGGAAAAGATGGCAAAGCCATGGTATAGAAGGAGTGCTGCTATCTTCAATCTTTATCCTTCACAAGTCAAAAATCTCAGAAGGCTGCATAGTTGGAAGAAGTGTGCGGAGAAGGAAGGTCTGAATAGGAGAGGGGTCCAGTGTGCAGCTCAGACAAACTACATGTAAGTTCGACTCACCTATATCTGTGTTCTTTAAAGCTTCAGGAGCACAGGCGTCAATTGGCCGGATAAAATTATGACTGCACACATCACGATCTAAAAGACACGCGCACACAACAGAGCAGTACACACTGGATAGAAATTTAAATCGTTTTAGGGAGAAGAAACCGTTGGTAACTCTCCCACTTCGAGGCAATGCGCCTTCTATGACAAAAGGTATCCTGGTTCTAGGTGTCAGCAATCACACCGTGCCACTTGCCATTTCAGCATTAAACATTAAACAGCGCAGGCAACTTGACCGACGTACATATTATCACAATTCCTCCTCTCCTTAATTAAATCCTGGATGAATTTACAAGTACAATTATTATGAAATTTGGACAACAAAAAGCAATGCGAAATGTGGAATAGAAGGATAACAGCAAGAGAAAATCAGAGAAAATGGCAAGCATACAAACAGCCAGTTGCTGTGGGTGCCTGACACCGTAGGAGAAATAGGGGAACGTGCCCCATTACAATAACTGGTAGGTGAGAAACCGCCGGTCCAGGTAGGTAGTCTGCTGCCTGCAATGGGTTGGTGGGCTTACGGAGGAAAATTGTGATTGCGACAAAAGACCAAACCGCCGCTGCGGAGTTTCATCTGATACTTGTGGTAAGGGTCAAAGTCCACAACAATGCCTGATGAGCTGTACCTCTTCGAGTACATGTGCTGAATGAGGTCCGGTGTTCCCAGACATAGCAAGTGTGATTGGTGACTGTAGACTGTAGTGTAGAGTTCACTGTGACATGCATACACTGTAGACTGTAGTGTAGAGTTCACTGTGACATGCATACACTGTAGACTGTAGTGTAGAGTTCACTGTGACATGCATACACTGTAGACTGTAGTGTAGAGTTCACTATGACATGCATACACTGTAGACTGTAGTGTAGAGTTCACTGTGACATGTATACACTGTAGACTGTAGTGTAGAGTTCACTGTGACATGCATACACTGTAGACTGTAGTGTAGAGTTCACTGTGACATGCATACACTGTAGACTGTAGTGTAGAGTTCACTGTGACATGCATACACGAATACTGAGTACACTACAGTTAAACTAGGAATGAAACTGTGGTAATGCAAAAGCACAACCTCAAAGTAAAGTTGAGCTCATACCCATGTTCCTTGTTGATAAACAGCAAATTCGGTGTCTGCAGGCCTGTTCTACAGTCCATTCACAAATAATGGATCTCCGGACTTCTTCAAATCTGATTTAGACCGAATTAGGCTCAACAGCCTAACTCTAATTCTGCCGGAAATGGGTTTAGAACTAGCAGGTCTGTACAATTATCCATGGCAAACCTGGCCGAAATATTCAAAACCTGGCGGAAACATTGTTGTCTACCTTTTTGAAAAAATAGACAGCAAAATAGAACTGGAAGAGCATTCCATGCTGCATGGCAAACGTCTTTGTCTGGAGGCCTCTCCTCAGTTTTAGTGCAAAGCCAAGGTCAACCGAAGCACTGCAAAATGCACCAGAATAGCCTGCACCATATATGTAACAGCCACCAATTGACAAGTTACAGATGGACCAAATGCTGCCAATTACACAATTTCTGTGGATGGCAATGTGTATGTTTTCTGTACTAACCTTCTGAGTTACACCTTGCAGGTGGGCACTGTGCAACACCTACAGTCAAACAAAACCAGGCAAATAACGGTATACAATTTATCATGCACAAACAAGTTATATAATCTCAAACGGGAGTGACCTTCCCTTGCAAGTCATGATGCGTGTTTGTTGTACCCAGTACTGTAATAATAAAAGGCGACTAGTAAATTACCCATTGCTTCGTCATTGTGCATTACTTTTCTAAGCACTCGCAGACTCCATTGCAGCCACTCACACATTACAGGGTACCTCACTTCAAACTCTCCAACTACGGTCTCTTCGCTGCATAAGTTCACTTCACTTCCAAAATAAATAAATACTATTAGATATAAATGGAATGCACCAAATTTCGGGCATGGCCCATCTTCAGGGTGAAAACCATTACCATAGACATTAAAAACATCATCACTTTGACTTCGCAGCGTGAATTTTCCAAGGAGACTCCTTGAGTTACCCAGCAGTCATCAAAATCCTCTATTTCAAGACCACAGATGACAACACTGACAACAACACCGTGAAGGCTCTTAGAGGTTGTGCACGCGCCGCAAACTACTCGCCACTGAATGCGCTAACTACTCGCCACTGAATGCGCTAACTACTCGCCACTGAATGCGCTAACTACTCACCACTGAATGCGCTATGTACATCAGGTTTTAGTCTCAACAACCATACCTGTGGGCGACATTGTATCACTTCAACAACCACACCACCACTGCACTGCTGTCTGGCTGACCATTGTATCACTTCAACAACCACACCACCACTGCACTGCTGTCTGGCTGACCATTGTATCACTTCAACAATCACACCACCACTGCACTGCTGTCTGGCTGACCATTGTATCACTTCAACAATCACACCACCACTGCACTGCTGTCTGGCTGACCATTGTATCACTTCAACAACCACACCACCACTGCACTGCTGTCTGGCTGACCATTGTATCACTTCAACAATCACACCACCACTGCACTGCTGTCTGGCTGACCATTGTATCACTTCAACAACCACACCACCACTGCACTGCTGTCTGGCTGACCATTGTATCACTTCAACAACCACACCACCACTGCACTGCTGTCTGGCTGACCATTGTATCACTTCAACAATCACACCACCACTGCACTGCTGTCTGGCTGATCATTGTATCACTTCAACAATCACACCACCACTGCACTGCTGTCTGGCTGACCATGCATTGTATCACTTCAACAACCACACCACCACTGCACTGCTGTCTGGCTGACCATTGTATCACTTCAACAACCACACCACCACTGCACTGCTGTCTGGCTGACCATTGTATCACTTCAACAACCACACCACCACTGCACTGCTGTCTGGCTGACCATTGTATCACTTCAACAACCACACCACCACTGCACTGCTGTCTGGCTGACCATTGTATCACTTCAACAACCACACCACCACTGCACTGCTGTCTGGCTGACCATTGTATCACTTCAACAACCACACCACCACTGCACTGCTGTCTGGCTGACCATTGTATCACTTCAACAACCACACCACCACTGCACTGCTGTCTGGCTGACCATTGTATCACTTCAACAACCACACCACCACTGCACTGCTGTCTGGCTGACCATTGTATCACTTCAACAACCACACCACCACTGCACTGCTGTCTGGCTGACCATTGTATCACTTCAACAACCACACCACCACTGCACTGCTGTCTGGCTGACCATTGTATCACTTCAACAACCACACCACCACTGCACTGCTGTCTGGCTGACCATTGTATCACTTCAACAACCACACCACCACTGCACTGCTGTCTGGCTGACCGTGGTACATTACCACTGCACACCAGAGTCTGCTCCAGAGCGATGCCAGCAAATTTTAAGCTGAGAGGGACAGAGTTGGATCAAGCCAGCAAAATCGGTTGGCCCCTGGAGCATGTTCAGTTCTTCCTGCAAGGAAATCACTGGCCCAGTCGGACTGAGCTAAGGTCTGGGCTCATCGCACTATGCCTGCCTGCTCTTATCTGTTCTCTGCCTGAAAGTGAAAGTGGCCAGATTTTTCTTTTCGGTCTCGCAGTGACTCACTCCTTCCTGGGTGCGGGCACTGAGTGCGGGGATGTGACATGAGAAGACGAGTGTTATGTTTGTATGTGCGCGTAAGCACGCTAGGCTCTGCGCATGTTTGCTTGCACGCTATGCTCTGCGCATGCGCACTCCAGTTCAGACTTCCTGTGTCTGAGTTTGTTCTTCTTGCTATCTTGTTACTTTGCACGTCCATTATTCTCTTTGTAAATAATCCTAATACATTCCACAACTGTGTGTTCTTGTGAGTGGGAATGTAACATTGGCGACGAAGATGGAAGACAAGCGTCTTCAGAGTTTTGATACGTCAGGCCCAGCTTCCCAGGTGTCCATCCGTTGGCGGAAGTGGGTAGCGCTCAAGAGCATTGCTGTTGCACTTTGCGGGACCACAGGTTCAAGACATTATTGATGACCTACTTGACCCTGACGATGCTCTGCCAGAGGAGCAGATGACCCCGAATGATAACGAGTACCTGAAATGTAAGCGAATTTTGGACGCGCATTTCGCAGCCCCAGCAAACCCTACCTACGAAAGGCATGTGTTTCGCCAGCTGGTTCCGCAAGCAGAAGAGAGTACGGCGCATATCTGCAGCCGTTTGCGGCAGCAGGCTAGATTATGTTCCATTGAGAACACTCGCCAGACCAATGAGGCCGTCCGAGACCAAATCGTAGCAACGGTGAGGAATGTTGACTTGAAGAAAAAATTATTGTCTGAGCCGTCGTTGTCAGTCGATCGAGCATTGGAGCTCTGTCGCGTCTGGGAGGATGCACAGTCACAGTCTCAGATGATGACTAGTCGTGCTGTTTCTGCTGGAGCTGGAGCATCGGAGTCCGCGAGTGATCATGCTGTCAGTGCAGTTACGTCCAGGGGCCAAGGCAGACACCACCACCCAGCTGCTGGTACACGTGTCAGTTGTTACAGCTGCGGTCGCAAGGGACACAAATCCGGAGATGCTTCATGTCCAGCTAAGGGACAGGCATGCAGGAAGTGTGGCAAGACAGGTCATTTCGCTAAGTGCTGCAAGTCAGGATCAGCGTCGCAGACTGCCGCCCATCATGTGCGCGAAGTCACGGACTACGAGGTGTCTGATAGTTTTCATGTTGGCCAAGTGTCAGCTGGGAAGCCAACATCGAACATGCTAATCACCACAGTGCAGATCAACGGTACTCCATTGGATTTGGAGGTGGACACCGGATCCATGTACACTTTGGTGCCGCAAGACGTATGGGAGCAACATTGGACACATGTTGCCTTGCGTGAATGTTCTGTGCGACTGAAGACCTACAATGGTTCAGTCCTGCCGATTGTTGGCGAAGCAGATGTTGATGTACGCTACAGCGCGCAGAATGTTCGTGCGCGGGTCATCGTAGTACGTGAAGGCAGCCATCCGCTGCTGGGACGCGACTGGCTATCACAGTTGAGACTTGACTGGCAGAGTATGTTCAACCGGGTGAACGCCACTGCAGCGAGTGAGCCAGCAGCAGAGGATGCGTACCCTGAAGTATTTCGTGATGGTCTGGGCAAAGTGAGTGATCGTGAAGCTGAGATCTACCTGAACGACGGTGCCACTCCCAAGTGCTGCAACCCCAGACCCGTGCCATTTGCTTTGCGTCCTGCTGTCAATAAGGAACTTGACAGGCTGGAGCAAGAAGGCATTATCAAGCCCGTCAAGTCAGCAGAGTGGGCCTCACCTATTGTGATTGTCAGGAAGCAGAATCGGGACATTCGCATGTGCGCAGACTTCAAGGTCACAATCAACCCGCACATCAACTCCAAGCTTCACCCGATTCCAAATCCGAACGACCTGTTGTCGCAGATAGCTGGAGGATCAGTGTTTACGAAGCTGGATCTTAGCCAAGCTTATGCGCAACTACCGCTGTCGGAACGCAGTCAGAAGTATTGCGTCATCACAACACATCGAGGTCTCTACGCATTCCAGCGCCTTCCGTTTGGCGTGTCCAGTGCCCCAGCAATTTGGCAGAAGACAATGGATGAGATTCTGCACGACATTCCTGGTGTCGTCTGCTTCTATGATGATATTCTCATCACTGGGTGCGATGTCGAAGAGCACGACCGGCGACTCAAGTTGGTGCTAGCGCGGCTAGCAGAGCGTGGTGTGCGTCTTCGCAAGCAGAAGTGTGCTATCCATGTGGATCGTGTACGCTACTTGGGCTACAGCATCAGCCGGAACGGTCTCGAGCCCAATCAGGACAAGGTCGAGGCTATCCTGAAGGCGTCAGAACCGAAGAATGTTCAAGCGTTGCAGTCATTCCTAGGCTGTGTCAACTTCTACAACCGCTTTCTACCCGACATGTCCAGTGTTCTGAAGCCGCTCAACAACTTGCTCCGCAAAGGTGTTCCGTGGAACTGGACAGATGAGTGTGAGAAGTTGTTCGCTCAGGTAAAGCGTATGCTCACTTGTGCCCCAGTGCTACAGTGCATTTCAAAACTATAGACGTGTAGGGTTTTTGAAATATTTCAAATTTGGCTGGAACTTTTTGAGAATAGTTTTCGGAATATTGCTCAGGATCGCTCCACAATTACTCTCATATAGTTTCTAAAGGATTGGATAACAGACGCCCAATTTGGAAAAATTTATGCACAAAGTGATCACAGATTTTATGTGGTATAGATGCTGGCATAACGGTTTTTGCCTAGGTACGCGTCTATAGTTTTGAAATGGACTGTAGCTCATTTTGATGCGAATGAGAAAGTGGTCGTTGAGTGCGATGCTTCGCCTTACGGCATTGGCGCGTGTCTCATGCATGAGTATGCTGATGGCAGCCATAGGCCTGTATGCTATGTTTCCCGTTCGCTTGCTAAGGCAGAGGCTCACTATTCGCAGATAGAGCGTGAAGCTTTAGCCATTGTGTTTGCAGTTAAGCGTTTACACATTTATTTGTTTGGTCGCTCTTTTGTTCTATGTTCTGATCATAAGCCATTGCTGCACATTTTTGGTGAGAAGTATGGTTTATCTGCCACTGCTGTTTCCCGTTTACAGCGTTGGGCTGTCATTCTTAGCGAGTATGATTATGTGTTTGAGCACATTTCTGGTAGTAGCAATGCTGTCGCAGATTGCTTGTCACGCCTACCTATGGAGCTGACAGCCGCACAAGAGAGTGCAATTGTCAGTGCTGTCAACGAGCATGCCCATGATCCTACTGAGGATTTGCCAATTGATGCTAGTGATGTTGCAGATGCTAGCAAGCAGGACAGTGAGATTGCTCCAGTACTGCAGTACCTACAGTTCGGATGGCCAGCTGAGATCAGCGAGGCTACGCGACCATACTACAAGATTCGTCATGAGCTGACCATAGAGTCGGGCTGTGTAGTTCGTGGTGGCCGTACCGTCATCCCAGTAGCCAGTGCAGGCTAATTTTTATTTTTCAAGGAAACCCTTCGAAAATGGTACCAATCGATTCAGCATGGCATTATCATTCCTCCTGCAAAGTTTCAGCTGATTTAGAGTCATGAGAAGGACGCTATGGCGATTTGAAGATCGAAAAACTTCACTTTTGTTTGTCAAGAAGAAAGACCATGATCGCACACAAATCATACAACCCGTGTGGCACAATGATTTTTGAACGAAGTTGATCCGCGGACCCCGTGCTTCGCGCATGCACGCATGCATACTGCACAGTACAGAGGCTTTTTTGAACGCAGATATGTAGTTCTTCGTCTTCTTCGAAATGTCTTCCAAATGCGTGGTGCTGGTGTTGTTCTCAGCTTCGTCAAGGCAGAATGCAGCTGCATGTGATGCTCCTGTGTGTTCATGCATGTTCTCTTTTCGCGTCTCGACATTGTAGCGTCCAGACTCAGCTCGACTGGAGAAGATTGAGGAGACTATGCTTTGATCCACATGGAAAATCGATGAAATTTGGTAATTATCGTCGGGCGCTAAAAAGCGCTGGGGAGCATGGGGCTAAAACTTCGTAGCAATCATCCCTACCATGACAGGCATCGACTGGTATATGTTCCATTCTGTTCCCAACCACTACGGGTCGTCTGCGAAGCTTTCTTCTTCGCCGATTCTCGGACAGATCGTACGTCTTCGCACTGTATCTCTCGTCTCCCTCAACGGATCAAAACACGGTTTTCGCCAGGACGAACACAAACCCCCAGATTTCGCGGCGGCAACATCTTCGTGTAGGGAAAAGCTAGCAGCTAACCAGGAATCACCAAAAAACACGTGTAATACTCAGTGTGATTTGCGACAGCTGTCATTGTGCCGTCGCAACATGCATGTACCATGCACGGGAAAGGAACACGGATGAGTCGTTTTATTACGACAGCCTGCACTGGCTAATCCCAGTAGTGTTTCGCCGTTTGCTGCTGGATGAGATGCATTCTGTCCATACTGGCATTGTCAGAATGAAGGCAGTAGCACGCAGCTTTGTTTGGTGGCCTGGCCTTGATCGCGATATTGAGCTTCTAGTGTCATCATGCAGTCACTGCCAAGCTCTAGCTAAAGCACCTAGCAAGGATGCCAGCCACCCATGGGTGTACCCCACAGAAGCTTTTGAGCGTGTTCACGTGGATTTTGCAGAATTCAACAACCAGCAGTATCTCGTCATCGTGGATGCATACTCTAAGTGGATCGACGCATACAAGCTTGGATCCACTGCCACTACTCAGCAGACGATTGACAGTTTGGTAACATTTATCGCAACGTTTGGTATACCCAAGACCCTCGTGAGTGACAATGGTCCTCAATTTACATCACACCAGTTCCAGCATTTCTGCCGTGAGAGTGGTATTGTTCACAAGTGTACACCGCCGTACCACCCAGCTAGAAACGGACAAGTCGAACGCATTGTCCAGGAGTTGAAGCGTGCTCTGAAGTCCCGTCCTTCGGATGTGTCTGAGAAGACCCAGATGCACCGTTTCTTGTTTATGTATCGTAACACGCCCCATTCATCAACGAATGTGTCCCCAGCTAGTCTGCTCTTCAGGAAATTACCGAGCACCAAGTTGGCACGCTTAAAGCCCAATTTTGCAGCTGCACAGCGTGAACGTCAAGCACGGCCACAGCCAGGTCAAGGTCGTCATTTCGTGGTGGAGGACACTGTACTTGTATTGAACACTCGCAACGGCAGCGGGCCTAAGTGGCTACCTGGCGTTATTGTACAGAAGCTAGGTCCGGTCTCGTACATTGTTCGCATTGGTCAGCAGGAAAGACATGTCCATGTAGATCATCTCCGTCATCGTTCTACAGCGCCACCTGATGCTGTTCTTCCTCGCAGTGATGTTGGCACACCGGTTTTGATTCAACCCGATAGTGCATTGCAGCCGTCAGTACCAGACGCTGCCAACGAGTCCGCACCGTCTGCACTTCCCAGTCCGTCTGCAGACCCTGTTGCACCGCGCCGATCAGCCCGTGCACCGAAGTCACCATCTAGGCTTATTACTGAGATGTGACTGCTTTACTGCTACCTTTACTCTATGGCTGTTATTTGAATATTGATCATAATTATCTCCGCTTTACTATTGCTTCTCTTAAGGGGGAGGATTGTTATGTTTGTATGTGCGCGTAAGCACGCTAGGCTCTGCGCATGTTTGCTTGCACGCTATGCTGTGCGCATGCACACTCCAGTTCAGACTTCCTGTGTCTGAGTTTGTTCTTCTTGCTATCTTGTTACTTTGCACGTCCATTATTCTCTTTGTAAATAATCCTAATACATTCCACAACTGTGTGTTCTTGTGAGTGGGAATGTAACAACGAGCACTTGAAATTAGTTGATAAGACAGCAATTGAAATGCAACGCCCGTCTCAAGAGAAAAATCACCAGTCACGGAGCTGTAACGCTAAGAGCACTAAGAGCACTAAGAGCACTAAGAGCACTAAGACCACAATACATACTAGTAACTTACAAGTAGGCACAGCGTTGCTCCAATTTCCCGTTTGCTGGCACTGAGTCTGTGCTTCTCCTCTCAACCCATAGTCTTCATCACACGTGAAGGTTGCAGTGCTTCCTACTCGGCGGTTGGCCACGGACACTGCACCATTCACAATGCTAGCTGGCACGGGACATCTTACACCTATCGCAGCACATACCAGGGCAGGAAAGAGAAAAAACTTGTTAATTTTAGAACAGCCTATTTCTCAATCCATCACAAACCGCAGCACGGTTACTATGTCATCGCATACACCTGAACAGGGACCCGTTCAACTGGAAGAGAATGGAGTGCACGGATTTCAGACTGTACAGTTACTGTGTGGTGCATGAGAATGCCGATGGGCTTCAAAGCTATAATAGTATTATGCTAAAGGACAATGACGTGAGACTGTGTAGGAAAAGGTTAGTACAGTCAATTTGCGTATAACGACACTCGGCGGGGCATCAGAAAAGTGTCCGTATTCGCGAAGTGTCCTTAAACCCGAAGTCTGGTTATATGTATTACAGTTAGATGGGACTTTGCTCTGGGCGTGGAGATTCTGTCGTTATTCCCGAATTGTCGTTATAACCGCAGTTGTTATCAGCAAAGTTGACTGTAGTGGTGAGAATGTTCACCTAGCTTCAGCCCAGCCCAGCCCAGCCCAGCCCAGCCCAGCCCAGCCCCAGCCCCAGCCCAGCCCAGCCCAGCCCAGCCCAGCCCAGCCCAGCCCAGCCCAGCCCAGCCCAGATCAACTTGCAGGTCTCGTGGAAGTACTGTGTACAGTAGTATGCTAGATGGGATGTGCTAGCAAGCAGCACAACACCACTTGGGAGGCAACATGCACCCTGCCGCCACATGATGATGGCCATGCATACCTGACTGTTCTGTAGCTGATATACGTCTTGTAGGTATAGACAGAACATCAAGGGCAACCAAGGCTTGTTTTTTTTGATATTTAGTTTCCTGCTTTCGCAATCATCAGGCAATCATCTTGTAGGTATATACAACAATATATACAACACTTAGCTCACACACACAACTGGACCAAGCTACGTAGCTCACACACAACTGGACCAAGCTACGTAGCTCCCGAAAACACACAGAGCATGTAGTATGTTAAGTTTAAAAGATCACAATTGGAAGCATGGCCAGCAATCGAGGACATCTGTGAGTTGTAATTTTTGTACTCCTCCGAGGTGTGATTTTTGGCGTGCTGGGCCAAGCACAAGGAAGCCATCCGCAAAAAAACTGCAGAAAATGGTTGTTGTTTGATCCTTTGGTGTAATCTTTGTTTCTAGTCGAAGCTAGTTGCTGTTTGAAGCAGAAACGCTGAAATTGACTATTTTCTGCATGTACTCATACATGTACTCATGTACTCAGGCATGCAGTCTCACTCGTATTTTAGCTCCTTTTCTGGAATGGATGCTGCTCTGCGCCCCTTGGTGAACCTTTCCTGCGCTCGTGGAGCAGCTGAAAAGGACCACTGGCATGTCTGGTTCCTGGTTTGAAAGTGGAGAGTCGACTTTTGTGCCTTGAAACGTCAGGCGAAATAGCACGTCATAGTACATTCGAGATCAGCGGGAAGAAGATGACGACGTCCACTAATTTAGCATCTGTGCACACGAATCTGCTGTGTGTGTTACTCTGTGTGTCAGCTATGGCATCATCGCCTGTGGTTCCATGCCTAGCATGTACGTCTGAACCATCCTGCAAAGTTTGAATGACGTAGGTTGAGCGATCGCTCCGCGAAACATACTTTTTGAAATTCTCTTCATAGTATATCTTCCACCACTGAAATTTTGAATTTCTTCGAATTTATTGCTGAGAGGGGTGGCTTGCAACCTCGATATGGCTTGTTCCAGGCTTGCTTTGGAGCCATCGCCTGTTGAAACAGTGGCGGGAAGCTGCCCTGCAACTGTTCCAACAGGAAATTAATCGATCCGAGAAAGCGCGAGTCCGCGAATCTCGGTTGAATATTGAGTATTTCAAGCCTTTTCACGACGAAGATGGAGTTTTAGGGTTTTACGTCGGGCCCTAGACGACGGCTACTTTGGCCAACCGGACAACGAAGAAGTTGTGACCAAAGTATTCTTTTTTGGAGATGGACGTCGCGGCAAAGGACATGGTCTCCAACTTCTGGCGTCTGGTGAAGCCAGGGATCATTTGCCCAGTCAGGTCGGCAGCCTAACCGTCGGTAAGCTTGTGTTTGGATCCCGTTCTGCTCGATGTGGTAGATCACAAACAATTTGATATCGCACAAATTGATCTCAGCATCGTGCGTACGGTATTTTATATTCAGAAAATCCCAAAGTGTCTCTGTGTGGCCGTCCTATGCCACGAGAAACTCCAATCAGGCTCCTTTGTCCTCTGCCTTCATGATTGAATGTCCACTTCGTTTGAACAACGAACACAACAATCGAGGACGGCTTTGCAATGAAAAATACAGCTATACTGGAGCTGAAAAAATGAAGAAAAAAACGTGCTCAGGATGAGACTCGAGTACACGCATACTCTCCCAGCAGGTGAAACGCAAATTTTTGTGAAAAATGCGTGTCGCCGACTGACCAGTAATTTCGCCTGACGAAGGAGTAGAGAGCGATAAAGGTACGTCTGTGGCTTATTTTTGAGTGCTCCTCGTACACTTTTGATCGTGATAGAAATTCTCAGACCAAAGTCAGACCAAAGTCAGCGCGATGATGGCCGTACAGTTTTCTTGTGGATTTTTTAGTTGTTTCATCTCGTATCTATGTCAGTATCGTGATGGTGAAGTGGAGAGGGTGATTTTCTTTCTCTAGGCTTCGTTCGGCCGACTTTGCTTCATCCTCGTTGAAAAGTGATCCTGAAAAAAAGGTCGATTCGCAAAATTATGTTGATTTTCAATGTACGTGGTGACATGCGATTGCTGGCTATGTAATAATGTTCGGCCTAAAAACGTTGCACATACCTCTGCACGTATTCTCACAGGACTGCTTGCTTGCAAAATTGTTCTCCGTCCCAAAACAGCCGCCATATTGGAATGACTTGCAGGTGTTTTCAGTGCTGTCGTAGTAAAACCGTTCTGTCATCTGCTTGCATGGACCTGGATCAAGACTTTGATCACACGCATCACCTGTAACGCAAAGGCATGCAATCAACAGATGAGCTGCTACACAGTGAGAACACTGTTAATTAAGATATCACATATATACAGTACACCGTTAGTTACTTGAGAAGTAGCTTCACACGATCACTGACCAACAAACACAGTAAGGGTAGCTGTCGGATGTCATCGCTGTAGGTATAGAGCAAAGGAAAACTTTAGCAGGGAACCACTGCGATACGATCACATGCGTATTGTACTTTGATGTCATCATACAACTTGCTCTGGTACGCATGTCTAAGCTTGTTTGAGTTGGCCATTTTGTGGCAGTTAGACAAAGCATGTGTGTTATTGACCCAGTGTGGGTCTAACACAGGGCGGTAGATATCCAGAGCAGCGCTTGTCACTGTGTGAGGCTGTTGTGTGCAGGGGTGACATGTTTAGTGCCAACAGTGTTTTTTACGGTCAACATCAGTGTTTTGAACAGGTTCAGCACTGATATTGCCACGGACGGCTATGCATGTGTGTGTGTGTGTGTGTGTGTGTGTTTGTGTGTGTGTGTAGGGGGGGGGGGGGGGGGGGGGCAGCATGCTTCACGCACGCTTGCTCGTGCATACACACGCACATGCACACAAATACACGCTAACACATACGTACGCATGCGCGCGCGCGCGCACACACACACACGCACACACACACACACACACACACACACACACACACACACACACACACACGCGCGCGCATGCTATCATCATGCACACTGTACATAAGCACATGTGACAGCGATCGAAGCATCAATCGTCATCCGGCATTGTGTTTTGCCAGGTCTCCTCCTAGGCGGCTTCGACCTGCATCGGACCACCCGTAACCCTAGGTTATTGGATGTAATTCTGCTTTGCACTGCACCTTGGACGCTTCCATACGTAACAGGTTGCAAAGTGCCATTTCCATCAAGGCTATGCTGTGAAAATATTTCACAGAAAGTAATTCAATCGAATGCCAACGACATCTCATCATCATGATGCATGTCACACATTCACATACCGGTACGTGGAGTGCATAGCATAGCAAGCCACATTCACATACGTGTACGTGGAGTGCATAGCATAGAAAGCCACGTTTTGTATTTAGACGGACAGGAGAATGGGAAACACCACGCTAAGTGTTTCCTGCATGGATATCATATTTGCTTGTATACCTTCAAGGCCAGATCCACGTCTTATGCTGGGCAAGAAAACAGTGCTACTATCCTATCACCTAACCTTGTTCACACGCATCAGCGCATTGGGATTGGAGATGGAAAGAGTTGTCGCCACCAGCTGTGTAGCATCGGCCTACGTTCATTCTCTGACAGCTCCGGCTGGTGTTGTCATAGTAATACCGATAGCCTGTCGGGTTGCAGGTCCTGGTCGGAGGAGGTCTGGGCTTCTCTTCGCTGCACTTGCCAGCTACAGTGGATAATCATAATTATACGTGAAAACAACAACAACAACAACAACAACAACAACAACAACAACAACAACAACAACAACAACAACAACAACAACAACAACAACAACAACAACAACAACAACATACTTGCATATGAAACAGGTAAACACCGTAAACTAACATCACAGAAACGAAAATGTCATGAGCAGGAAAATGTCATGAGCAGGAAAATGTCATGAGCAGGAAAATGTCATGAGCAGGAAAATGTCATGAGCAGGAAAATGTTATGAGCAGGACGAAACCTTCACATAACATACTGTAACTAGGCTTTTGGGCCAAGGAAAAAAGTAGAATGTTTATCGTCAGCGCCCGCTCCGAATATTCAACCTCCAGGCGAAGTGTTTATATATTTTTAGCACCGGTACATGTACAGTATGCGGCACTGCTATCTACGGCCTCTTCTCACAGTATAGCTGTAGATCCTCAAAGGCCAAGTCTACAGATTGAACCACGGCCGCAGTCGGCTTGAAAACGTGACTAATCAGCTGCCAGATGTTCTTTGTTTGTCCTAAGATCGTTGTTGTCATTTTTCCTTATTCGCATCCTCAAGATTATCTTGCAAGATGCTATTTATGGCATGACGGATTTTTCTCAGTCTACGTCAAAATGGTTTAAAAAAAGAAAAAATGAAAAAAATTAGGAAAAGGCATGTCTAGAGTTGACTTGCAAACACCCATTTCAGCTGTATATGCAAAAGAAAATGAAAAACTTCCCGTCCGCCCCGATTTCTCCTACAATACTGCACCAGGCAGTCAAAGTGGATAGGCCTGACTATTCACTTCTCAAGCCCACAGCGGCTAAGGTTGAAGACTACAGTTGAGAAGCGAGAGGTTCCTGGTTAAGTCGGACCGTGGCAGAGTAGTCCGATTTGCGAAAATGACCATCTCGACCACACACGGCAAATGGATTGACTTTTAATGATCATGATTACCATGCACCGAGGCACTATTCAAGCACCTGCACTCACTCACAGCACCAGCTTGTCCATGTACACTGATATGATCATAAACGATTTTCAGTGACTGCAGCATCTCACATAAATTTTTTGATCATGCACGACTGCACTCCTCTTAGGAGACGGTACAAAAAGAACATAGCGTATGTTGAGATTCGTTAGATGCTCACGGAGATCTTTTCCACTTTCGTCTTTCGACTTGCCGACCTCGGAAAGCTACAGAATAATGATGGCCAGTTCAATGTAAAGTGTTCACAGTGCAGTCATGTTCATTCAGACTCTGGTCGCGGCAAGCTGGTCACTTTATCTGTGATTGCATTGATAACAGTCGAGTGGTGACACCGATGACCACTTCAGTCCAGGCAAGTGGTCACTTTGAAGGCCTTCTGCGGCTGGAAAGCTGGTGGACGGTGACCGAGAAAGATCACCGGACTGGGCTATTTTCTAGCACCCTTGGTCATTTGGAACCAGAACAAGTAGCCATAGATTGGAATTCCAGGGTGGTCAGAAGGCGAGGTTCAAGATGTATGCGCGCTTTTGGTGGACCCATCAGGACCCTGTGAGCAGTCAGGACTCAGTGACTCATCAGGGCCCTGTAAGCAGTCAGGACTCAGTGACCCATCAGCCCTATGAGCAGTCACAGATCCAGTAACAAGACATACAGTCACATTGCCAGTCACAAAACCCACAACCAGTCAAAGTAGAGTGTTACAATACGGGCACCCTTTGGTTCAGAAGTGCCTGGATACCGTATTATCTCTAATATAAGCACGGTCCTTTATTTTTTCAATGTACCTCCGCCCCGTGCTATTAATGGAGACGTTCCTTTATAATTGGAGACTGTTCCATTATTATTTCAACCTCATTTCAGAGGCATGTTGCCATGCCAAATTTATATGTCAGACACACACATTTCAGGGTTTTTCGCCGATACAGATAATGAATTTACACAGTGTGCTTATAATGGAGACTGAGCACTTTATTTTTTGAATGCCGCCCCAAGGTGTTCTATTATTGGAGACGTGCTATTATTGGAGACTGTGCTTATATTAGAGATAATACGGCACGTGTGTTTCTACAAGTACAAGCTATCAATACATGGGATTCTGTATGTATACCTGCTGTGTTTCTTCATCTTACCTAACCTGAGTACGCCCCGAGCACAGTACCGTTGGGCATAGGGGGAGGGGAGGGGGGAGGGGGATCAGACTCATAGCCTAGGGTATTTCCTTGTGTCATGTACATACACTAGAGTCTATGTGTAGTTGAGTCACCGGGGTACATACCAGCCTACTCTACTTGGTAGGTACTTGGTATAATCTTAGCCTGTTCGCTCTTCCATGCACCGTGCCTCGGTGCCTGACTGTAGTGATCATGCATACAATACAATTTACCTGATAATATTTATAGAAAAAAAGAGCACGGTCCACAGCGTGAAGCCTCACCTCTTTCACAAAACCCATCTTTGGCCACCGTAAGTGTTGTGTTGGTCTGGCAAGCCTCCATGGCCATGTGACACCTGTTGTCATAGTCCTGGGCGTCTGTGGCACACACCGGTTCGTAGGCATCGGTGCACGTCTCACTGTTATGGCATACACACTTGTATCGGTGAGTGTTGCCAGGGTCTGTTATGCAACGCTGTGAAGCATGCGGACACTTGGCTCTCTGGCATACCGCTACCACCAAGAGGGAAAAAGAAGAAAAAAACACGGAACAACTGAGCTAATTTCAAATGCATTAGCTATAGGCTGATGAACCACAATGCACGAAACACCGCTGCCAGAAAAGTAAGAATACTGCTCCTTCAATCGTAGCGGCAGGAACGCATATGTGGGTAGTGCCATGGTATTTACAGTGAACACAAAGCGTTGAGTTGTTAGTGTCAGCTCTGTGACCAACTTTTCCACAGCCATCAGTTTCTGCACTATGTCTCATTGGTTGTGGGTGAGTCCACAAACAACAAAAGTAGTGATTCATACAAATTGACTCCAATTTAGTTTCAGGCAATGAATGTAGGAAGAAATATTTATCAGCTAATAAAGCTTTGTTCGAAGGTGACTTCCCCTAACCTCACTGCTTCCCCCTCTGTATGCCTGTATCTCTGTATCTCTCTCTCTCCCTCCCTCCCTCCCTCCCCCCTCTCTCTCTCTCTCTCTCTCTCTCTCTCTCTCTCTCTCTCTCTCTCTCTCTCTCTCTCTCTCTCTCTCTCTCTCTCTCTCTCTCTCTCCCCCCCCCCCCCCCCGCTCTCTCCCGCTTTGAAGTTGGCTTCCATAGAATTTGGCACCATTGCCCGTTTGGCCTTGCGAAGTAAAAAAATCAACAACGACAACAACAACAACAATTTGAGACAATTTCCTTAGTTAGAATTATAATTCGTTAAGAGAAGGAACGAGAGGTGGTACTTCTGGCCCACTACTGCCATCCAGATCGACCCCCTTGACAAGAGTTGCTTCATCCTTACATTTCAAGATAAATTCCTGGATGCAAAATCATATCAACAAAAATGGAGCACCTTTCCTGCCCATAACATCACTCGGCAATGCCGGACACATTTAATGATAATGCGGAAAGAAAAACCCAGGAATGGACCAATCAGTGTGAAAAGACAGATGGAAGTGTCTCCGCTATTTTCATTAGTACAAGATTTACCTTCCAAAGATAGGCTTGCAGAGAGCAAACTCACCTAGAGACCCATAAATAAATGAAAACTAACTCACGGATGCAAAACGGCACTCGACCATTCCAATTTGAGTTTACTGAACAGGTGGTAGCTGTCAATGTTGAATTTTGACTCTCCAGGAACTTGAAGCGATCCGCACATTCGAATACAAGAGAAGCGTTCACCAAGCCAGCCCCAGAGGTTGTGTTGCCGGTGAAAGGTGTGACCACTCCATACCTCTCCAGTCCAACAATTTTAATGTGCCTGGTAGATAGGTGACTAGCAAATTCGGGACAAAAGTCATCTATGATAATGAACAATTGCAGAACATACCATTCACTGAATTAGAGGGTAATTTCACCCAAAAAGGAACACTTCAAGACTTGCGAAAAAGGCACTGATTCCAATGGTGAAAGGTCCAGATTGACTGTAGCAGCCATACTTGGCCCATGTAGTAGACGGACTTTCTACCGTATCATACCGTATGTACCGTATATCGATAGACTTACCATGCCGTATATATTACGTTATTTTGTGTACGTCGTGTGTACGTCATGTTGGTGCATGCGTGTGTTGCTGTGGTGTAAAAAGCAGTCTTCGTCTCGAGTTCGTCTTGTCTAGTTGTGTTTCCGTAGTCATCTTGAAATAGACAGTCACTTGAGTCTTCCTGTGCAATCACTAAGTGCAATATTGTCCCCTGAGAATACTACTTGTGTTTCGAGTCGGAGAGACTGAACTAGTTTTGCCTTGTCACTCGGTCGCGTACTACACTTGGTGGCCCAGATCCGTGGTGCCACAGAGATAAGCTTCGTATGAGAGTAGATAAGGAAATCATCGGACAGTATTTTAGGTCTCCATTGTCACAGAGAAATTGAATGCTTACCAGACTTTGGTATGGAATATGACTCCTATGAAGACTCTTTTAGTATTGAAGAGTACACAACCCCCAAGAGTGTGCAAATCCAGCTATGGGGTCGGCGAAGGCAGAACTTTACATCACGTGACAGTCTGTACCGTGGCATTATTTGCACCCTGCACATGATAGATACGGGGTTGTACGCAACCTTGCTTTGGGTCCAACTCTCCTGTGGTCACTTTGCACTGTTTGCCAACGTAACCTTTGACCAATGTCACATGATGCTAAGTTCTGCAGTCGCACCACTGTATAGAGGTTGTGCAAGCAGTTTACCACTCTTGGGGTTACTGCTCCTATCCGTATCCAAATAGGGCGTTAAAGTGTGATGACATCAGAAGCCAAAATAGTATGACTTCAGGGGCAAAGTGAGTCCACTCTGACCATAACAAAGTGCCATATCTGTTGGCCGGTGGGTAGGCCCTCCTGTCGGATGCTGGTATGAATAGTTTCTGTAGCATGTATTAAACGTAATTACGCCCATTCCGTGACCCGGGACACAGGAACACAATGGACAGGTATTCATATTCATAGGCTTTCTTTATTACATGTACATTCGGAAAAGTAAAACCTATCCAGACACGAAAAAAAGCTAAACTCAATCAGTTGATGACAACCGGCGCCCATTGTGGGGTTTGACGCCATGATCACTTGACAACAGGCTGGCTCTGGGGATTTCCTCCCGTCATTAGTCATTGTATCCCCCCCCCCCCCACACACACACATAACCACACATAACCACACATACACATGCATGCACACCGGAACATGTATGAAAAAGGGGTAGAGACAAAGGACATACTAGCAGCAAGCGTTTTAAACAAAGCCTTAGACAGAACGTAGCCAACTGGACACATACGTACGGCATGTTCGATTCACACATGTCCTTTGCTCCAAACTGGGACCAGTGCACCGCCCTCCATCAGTTGTTGTTGATGCTGGGTTAATGCAGTGCCGTGTTCTGTTTTGTGAGCAGAAGCTGTCACATGCACTCCACTCTGACCAGTCACTCCACTTGCTATCCACACTGACATCTGAAGCAGAAGATAAAGTCCACCGGTTCACATAAGAGAGGCGCACACACGAGAGACGTACACACATAAGAGGCGAACACACACATGCAAGAGAGGTGCACGCGAAAGGGAGGTGCAGACACCAGACAGGTGCATAAGAGAGGAGCTTACATAAGAGAGGAGCTCACATAAGAGAGGAGCTCACATAAGAGAGGAGCTCACATAAGAGAGGAGCGCACATAAGAGAGGAGCTCACATAAGAGAGGAGCTTAAATAAGAGGTACACGCATAAGAGAGGTGCACACAGAAGAAAGGCACACACATTAGATAGGCACACACATTAGATAGGCACTCACACAAGAGACTAAGGATTAGGCAGTACGGAGCAAGGAGCGATCATGTACGTACTGCATGTTGTGCACGGTCTGTGCTCCAAACTGTCACCATCACACAGTCCAGCGTCAGTGGGCGATACAGACTTCATGCAGTGCCGTGTTCGTGCTTGCAAGCAGGAACCATTACACACGGTCCAGCCTGACCAATCACTCCACTTGGTGTCCACAATGAAATCTGAGCGGGGATGACAATGCCAGAAGATAACAACAATGCACAAGGCACGCCACTCTTAGATGCTACCGGACAACTGGACAGCTGGAGTACTACTATACAGGGAATTTCCCCCTGTACATGTACATGTCCAATTATGCACTTGAAGTCAACAGGTACAGGTGGAATCCTGAAAATTCAAACCCAGAATTGCCGAGGAAGGCCCGTCTAAATAGCCGCAGACATTCTAATAATACGCACGTGTGGTCACACCACGCTACATTAGTCAAAATAGTCGCATTGTCACAAAGACGTACAGTAGGCACTGAGCACACGTATTCCGTGCACTCTGAATTTGCCAGTACAGCACGCTCACACGTGTTGAACTGACCTGTGCAGGGTACAGTGAACTTTGAATTACACCTTGTTAACTTTAAATTATCAGCAGGAATCCCACAGTTTTCTACGAAATTTGTGTGGCTTCTAAATAGATGTTTCCAAGGTTCAATTTATCAGACATTATTATGTGAGAATCTTACTGGCTGAAATCAGTCCTGGAAGAATATTCTAGTGTTGTGTGTTATGCCTGGTATTGCAGTTCAAATCAACTCAGGACGCCCCGTCTTGTATGTTTTAAAAGTGTGTGCGCGCTCGTGCATGCGCGCGCGCGCGCGCGCGTGTGTGTGTGTGTGTGCGCGCGTGCGTGTGTGTGAAAAACATTTTCTGCACCTTGTCCTCACCCACTTACTAAGGCGTGGTGAGCCCATAAGTGGAATCATTTTCAAGTCCACCCAGAGTTTTGGGGATTTCAGGGGGTGTCGGCCGTTGGGCGGTTCAATGGCCAATACCCAAGCCACAGCCATTGCCTCAGCATGCCTTCAGAGAGCTGAAGATACCCATGCAGCAGCCATCTGTCGAAGGCTCGCAGCAGGTGGTTTATCCAGTCATGAATGGCGGTCCACTGTCAAGCGTGCCGGTGGGTGTGGGCGTAGCTACGATATCCCTACCCTCAAGGAGGAAAACAGCGCGGAGCTAACCACCAGTAAGGACAAAGCAGAGAGCTTTGCCCGCTACTTTTCAGCGAAATGCAGCCTTGGTGATGACCTTGATGCCAGCAACCTCCCGAAATGTGACGGAACAGGAGGAGCTCAAAATCTTGGGCATCAGTTTCGATGGTCAGCTTACCTTCCGGCGCCACCTTCGTACCGTAGCCCTCCGGGCAACACAGCGACTTGGTGCTTTGCGCAAGGCTTTCCACCTCCTAGACGTGCCCGGTCGCATCCAAGCCTACAATGCTTTTGTGCGCCCAGTGATGGAGTACTGCCCTATTGTCTGGATGGGAGCGGCCCCATCCCATCTTGCAAGACTCGACCGTGTGCAAGCCCGGGCCATCCGTGCCATCGCCCCAATGTGTTGGCTGCCGAGTCTTGCTCTTCGTCGCATGGTTGCAGCACTTTGCCTCCTGTACAAGATGCATTGTCCGGATGCGCATCCCCTTCTACAGAGGATGCTGCCACCCCAGCAGCCCCAACACCGAACAGTCCACTCCACCCGTAGTACATTCCAGAGATGTAATGCTCACGCACACCAACTGGCCAATGAACTTCCAGTCCGTTCCCGAAACAACCTGTGTCGAGCCTACCCTCACGCAGTTGTCCCCGTCTGGAACCAGCTGCCCGCCGGAGTCTTCTCTGGTCCTTTCTGCACCAAGAACTTGCAACACTTCAAAGTTGCAGCCAACCGCTATTTGAAGACCAACGACTGGTCGTGGGCACATGACCATCTCTGATCATCAGCATCATATCTGCCTCACCCCAGGACTTCCAAATTCCGCTCCACATACTATTCCCAATAACGACTGTTCTTCTTTTCTCTCCTTCTCCTCCTAGCACTGTCTGTCTTATCATTCCCCTCCTTCTAATGTACTGTCTCTCCTCCTAACATTTCGTATCATGTACCTGTCACTCCTTTCATTTATTTTTCTTCTTTTTTTGGTGCGTTTTATGTCCCCATGACGTCGAGACCTCAGGTCGGCTGAGGGCAAAAAGCCTCACCATCACTATGCTCCCACTATGCAATTTTTTGTCTTTGCCTGTGAGCTGTGATCATTGTAAAAATAAAAATAAAAAAAAATATGTCCGCCCGCGATCTGATGCTTGTCTGAGTACCATCCACTTTAGGCCACGAACGGTATGCCGTGAACTGAGGAAGATTGTCCCGTCCAAAGCCACTGGCTCGGATGGTGTACCAGGACGAGTGCTGAAGCAGTGCTGTGAGGAGCTGTGCAGGCCTGTGGCCCAGCTCTTCAGCAAAGCATTCCGCTAAGGCCGGCAACCGTCACTGTGGAAGCTTGCCTCAGTTGTACCTGTGCACAAGAAGGGTTCGAAGTCCGCAACAAAGAACTACCGACCCATATCCCTGCTGCCAATACTGTCAAAGGTCATGGAAGCTATCATCAATCGTAGCCTTATGGGATTCCTTGAGCGCCAGCACATCCTCACCACTAACCAGTACGGCTTCCGCTCCGGCCTGGGAACGCAGGACCTCCTTACCCTACTACAACATCGTTGGAGTACCGTGGCTGCAGGGGGCGGAGCTGTGCGAGTTGTTGCTGTAGATATTGCTGGAGCGTTCGATCGAGTCTCCCACCCAGATGTGATCCACAAAGCCCAGCAGTACGGTGTATCCGGCATGCTCCTTGCATGGTTGAAGGACTACCTGCTAGACAGGCGCCTGAGTGTCGTCGTTGGTGGGCAGTCGTCCAGCCCACACCGCATCACAGCCGGAGTTCCGCAAGGTAGCTTGTTGGGACCGACACTGTTCCTCCTCTACACGAACGATGCCGATGACCACCTTCCACCAGGTGTAGATCTGGCCGCTTATGCCGACGACACAACGCTGTTTCAGTGCCTGTCCACCATGGATACCATTGACCACAGCTCGACAGTCCTGCAAAATGCTCTCGATGCCCTTGTGAATTTGGGCACCAGCTGGAGAATTGCGTTCGAGCCAGCCAAGTCCCAGGCCATGACTATTGACCATCACCGCCCCGCCTGGGACCTCCCAGCAGTGCAGTTTGCGGGTGTCCCCCTGAATGGAGAGAATAACCTCAAGCTTCTCGGGGTAACCTTGGACAGCCAACTTTCCCACCGCAACCACCTCCGTACCGTCGCCATCAGAGCACGCCAGCGTCTCGGGCTCCTGCGGAAGGCCTCGCCGCTCCTGGATTCTCGCAGTCGAGCTACAGTGTACCGTGGGTTTGTACGCCCAGTAATGGAGTACTGCCCATTGGTCTGGATGGGCGCAGCAGATTGTCACTTGCAGCGACTTGACCAGACGCAACGCTCAGCCCTCCACTTGATTGGCCCCGGCGCAATGCTGCAAAGCCTGTCTATCCGGCGCATGGTAGCTGCGTGCACCTACATTTACAAGCTACTGTGCTCCAATCCTACCAGCCCACTTCGTCAGCTCTTGCCTCCCTCTCAAGCCCCCCGACCAGCCCATGTTCGACCCACTCGTCTCTCTCTCGTCCGTCTCGACATGCATAACTACCAGCTGGAGACAGGGCTACCTGTCAATAGCCGGGAAAGTTGCCGTAGAGCATTCCCCGCCTGTGCTGTCCCTGTATGGAATGCCCTGCCACCCGCCGTCCTCAGCCAGCCACCTGACCGGAAACGACTGCAAAGTTTCAAAGTGTCTGTCTTCCGGCACTCCGTGCCCAGCAATGGCACTGGGCCACTGACACTTTGTAATATGTATGCACATCTGCCCACACACTGCTCCATATTGCCATACGCCTCGTGCCCTGCTTACTCTTTTCTCTGGATCTGAATGTGCACCCCTTACGCATTATATAATAATACTTTATTTAGTTCTCTTCCCCTCTCTTGCTTCCCAACCCTCCCCGCTCTCTCTCTCTCTCTCTCTCTCTCTCTCTCTCTCTCTCTCTCTCTCTCTCTCTCTCTCTCTCTCTCTCTCTCTCTCTCTCTCTCTCTCTCTCTCTCTCTCTCTCTCTCTCTCTCTCTCTCTCTCTCTCTCTCTCTCTCTCTCTCTCTGTCTGTCTCTGTCTCTCTCTGTCTCTCTGTCTCTCTGTCTCTCTCTCTGTCTCTCTCTCTGTCTCTCTCTCTGTCTCTCTCTCCGTCTCTGTCTCTCTCTGTCCCTCTCTGTCCCTGTCTCCGTCTCTCTGTCTCTGTCTCCCCCTCCCACTCTTTCTCTCTCTGCTATTGGCGCGCCTGGTTGTGATGAAGCCGAGACCCAAGGTCGGCAGAGCATCCCAGACCACACCACCACTCCCCTTATTCATGGCTCACACATGACGGGTTTACGTGGCTCTAGTAAAAAAAAAAAAATTAGTCATCTTTCCAAGATTCCTTTTGAATCTCTCTCCCCTCTTCGGGGGAGACTCGCGTGACCAGTCATGGCAGTGAGCAAGTACAGTACAGTACAATGTGTGAAAAAAGGAAAAATATGAAAAATACCGTAAAATTCCGTTAATAAGCCCCGGGCGTATACTTTGCAGAGCGTCAAAAACCGGGCGTATATTTGGGCATGGGCTTATTTTAGGGCATGGGCATTATTTCGGACGCAATCTGCAGAAGATCAATCTATCAGCAACCCACTAGTTTCAGTGAACCACCATTCACACTGAGCGCGGTACAAACCATGCATTTCCAAATACACATGGTGTGGCTTTCTACGTATACCGGTATGTAGTTGAAAAAATAATCATCAAACCACAGCTGGAAATTTGGTCGTAAGCAAGAATGTAGCGATAAATTACAGATTTGATAGGTAAACCACTTGCTATGGTAAGTACGAGTACAAGGCATAACAGGTACCGGCATGGCTGAAAACGTTGTGATGCTGAAGCAGGTTATAAGGCAGTTTGTACGCGAACGCACGCTCGCGCGCTGGTCATTTTGAGTCCACTTTACGCCCTGGGCTTATTTCGGGCATGGGCGCTTAAACGGACTTGAAGTGTACACCGCCTAAAACTGGGCTTATTATCGGACATGGGCGTTATTTAGGGTGGGCTTATTTACGGAATTTTACGGTAGGGATTCACTGGCCAGAAAAAGCCACTTTAATCAGCTGTGTGGTGGATATCAGGCTAAAAATTAGTGGCGGTCAATTCATCAGTCTTGCAAGCTATTGAATGGTGTAATCCCAGCACAAGTTGCTATGTCTAACATAGCTGTTCGCTATCATCGCTTCCGCGATGGGCAGGTCTGAGGTCTGAGGTGTGTGCAAGTGTGTGTGTGTGTGTGTGTGTGTGTGTGTGTGTGTGTGTGTGTGTGTGTGTGCGTGTGTGTGTGTGCGTGTGTGTGTGTGTGTGATTGCATACCTGTGTGTGTGTGCGTGTGTGTGTGTGCGTGTGTGTGTACGAGTGTGTGCGAGTGTATGTGTGTGTATGTGCATGTGCGTGCGTGTGTGCGTGTGCATGCGTGTGTGTGACGTGTGCGTGTGTGCATGTCCATGAACCGACTTACCCATTTCACAAATGGTGTGGTAAAGCTTCTTGCATGGCTCGTCAATCCACATTCCACCATACTGGAAAGGTGCAAGTGCACAGTTTTGATCCTGGCCACCATTCGGCTCCCCTGTTTGCGTGTTCCAATTCGAGTACACCACTTCAGAATGCCTATTCAGCCACACGTCCTCAGTGTGACTATCAGAAAGAGATATCCATGGCCAGGTACCGGCACGTAATACGACTGCTACAAAGTCATGCTGCGCGTCTGCAGACACAATGGATAGCATTCGACTGGCACCACTCAAGCCTGCGCAGGCGAAGTGCGCTTCGCTAAAGTTCCTGGCTTTTTGATCCATTCTCTTGTAGCACTTCAATGCCCCTTGAAGCCAGCCACCCGGACACTGGCCGCCAGATTCAACTGCAAGTACCCACAAAAAAATACATACAAAGTCATACATGTAGTTAGGTTCATGGGCAAATTAGAGGAGGAGGAGGAGGAGGAGGAGGACAAAACACAACAGTAATCCACTCCTGCGTAATACAAGATCACATATCACTGGCACCTCTTAACCATAGAAAATGCAGTGGTGCAAACATGCACTGATTTCAGCACCATATGAAGGAAGACTTCACCAACACAGTACGGACTACTGCATCACGGGGAAGACTGCATAAAATACATTACTTCACCAACGACCACTGCTACAAGTGTCATTTGACTTTCTCCAACCAGAGCGCGTCATCATCTTCTCAGTAATAGACACAGAACACTATCCACGTTATGATCTTGCATTTGAAAGCCCTATTTCAATATGCATTGTGGCCAGCCGTCTTTGATGGCACGGTACGGTATGGGACAGGTACGGGACAGGTACGGTCGAGGGTAATACGAAACCGTCTACCGCCTTGATGACCTAGGCCAAAAAATAGGGATGTTATAAATTTTTCAATTCTCATATTTTTTCAGGCATAACCTGGGATTCGAACCCGCACTATCGCCCTACATGCATTCCCACATACACTTCGCATTCATACTCATTCTTCCAAGTTGCTTCATGTTATGATCTTGCGTTTGAAAGCCCGATTTGAATATTGCGGCCAGCTGTGTTTGATGGTACGGCACGGTACGGGACAGATACGAGATAGCGCCAGGCGTGACACAAACACACAAACAAACAAACAAATACCAAATTAAAGCTGTGTGGACCCTGGCTAGCGCCAGACGCTACTGAAGTAACGTCTTCTGCATAGCTACGGGAATAATACATTTTCAGAAGCATTTTGTGGATAGTACATTTCCCCAAGTGCCAATACAATTTTCCAGCAAGTTGTCGCTTACCTGCACAGGGCTGATTTTCGCAACCTTTGTAGTCAATAGCGCGTCCTGTGCAGCTGCTCTGCACTTGGTGATTGCACACTCGAGTGCGAGATGAGTAACCCACTCCACATGATGCAGAGCACGAGCTCCAAGCACCCCATTGTGACCAGCCGCCCGACCCAACTGCACACGTAGAGATGAAAGAAAGACTGCTGTTGTCTAAAATCTAGATCTTGGTACCCTAATAACCCATTTTTTCTTTCCGAAATCGCCCAGTTCTTCGAGTCATTGGAGAGGTTCCGCACTACGTAAAGTTGAGCAACTTTACGTTAGTGGGCGGGAAAAACCCGTGAATTTGCGAGTTTGCACTCCACTTACGGAAAGTTTTCTACGGAGAGTACGTAGACAGGACTCTGATAACGTAGCTGGTCCGTAAGTGGATTGGGGTACAAATTGATGACTCTCTCCCCAGGTCGATCTGGTCGTACACTGCCGCGTTCGGAGTTGTCAAGGGCAGCTATGTGATTTGAAAACTCTGTATGACGTAACACAGATGCGCATGCAGTTTACGTAAGACTTTCCGTAGATAGACTACTTTTTTTACTAACGTAATTACATTATGCGGAACCTCTCTATTGAAAGAAACGCTGCTCACTTTGACACAGCGAAATTTTCCTCATATCTAATGCACATACTGGGACAGTGGTTCTGTTTAGAAGTACTACTGTGGTAAAGTCACAAAGAGAGCACCCTGAAAATGCAGCTTCCGCTCAAGGGAGAGGAAATTTCCTTTAAATTGTGCACAGAGTGTACCCACATTGTAATTCGTAATTTTTATTGTTTAAGGATTCCCCAACGGCTTTCGCCTATCGAGGGGGTTTCGTTGTATGTCGCACATCTAGCCAACTGTTATGCACAAACTTGCCACCCGTACAAGTCAGAAGCGGTCCACAATCTGCGGTGGAAAAGTGAATTTACAGATGAAATAAACGAATTACCCTATAAATAAACGAAGGCATGATTAATTAACAGGGCACGTCACGTACATGCTTTTTAAAACTCACCGGTCGATGTCGCCACACTGAACACTGATACCAAAGACAATGTTAACAAATTGGCAAGCATAGCCGTACTCATACTTGTTGCGAGTTCCTACGACACCCGTATTGCTCCTGGATTCTCCTACGGCAACAGGACATGCAGATACGACAGGCAAATCTCAATACAGAGCCATTGCTTCTTCATTGGCTACATTATAGTGCCACATGATTGTGACCAATTAGTTTTCTTGGAGACAAACATGCAATAAAACTCAAGAAGAAAAACAAGACGAAGGCTTCTGACAATCACCATCCTTTGAATTTCTTCCACTAGCACTTGCATTGTGTTCTCATCAGGTGGAAAAGAAAAAAGAAACTGACCAAGAGCAATGAACTTTATACAGTAGAGATGTGATAAAAACAACGCAAAAAAAGAAGAGTAGCTGAAAACAACACGGTAAATGTATCACCTCACACGCACACACACATCAAGGAGTGACAAACGGGTGCAAGTCTGTCACTAAAACAAACCAAACAAGAGGGTGATGTACGGTGAGAACAACAGACACTCGACACAAGGGTGATAGGGCATCAACACCTCATTAGTTTTGTGCATCGATTGACAAGACCATTGATCTGTTGGGTTCCCCTAGTAAATATGAATGAATGATAATGACTATGACACAGTCATGGTACCTTTCCAGGCTAGAAATCAAGGTACGCGGGAAGGGGCACATCTGGGAAATATTGGCTCTAGCGCTGTAGTGGGAATTTATGATAATATATGCACTGACCTCCACATCAAGTGCCTAATCTCTGTATTCCTCATCCCAGCTCCTAGTACCCCCCCCCTGCTATAGACAAGAGTACAAAACTGTCATAACTCAAAACTGTCCCGGATTTCTACAAGTGAGACACAGTTGGAAAGGTCATGAGCTCAGCTTTCAGCAGAGATATAAGGTTCTTTGCAATTGGACAAGGCTTCGCCGAATGGCGACAAATTGAACTGAAAAAAGTTTGCTGTGACCGTACCATGTCTTTCTCTTTTGTTGGTCTGGTTGTGCAAGAGGGTCTTTGAACAGTACCATTCTTTAACTGATGTACCGATGCCCTTTTGGGACTATCTAGGCACGTGGTATGCATGAATATACATGGTGGACTGTGCCTGATCGCTGATTTGTGTCCTAGTGTGTAGGCTGACTTTGTGCACTGTAGCCTGTGGGCCTGTAGCCTTTGGCCTACGGTGCACGACCTCAGGCTACCGCACTAGGGCATAAATCAGCCAGTATGCCCTCCGTGTACCAAGCGCAATAATTACTGTAGAATCCTGCGGATAAGCCCATCCACGTAAAAGCCCACCCACGTATAAGCCCATGCTCGCGCATAAGCCCAGGCCAAGTTCGAACGTCGCGAAGCTTCGTTGTACAAACCCATGAGCCTAGGTCGTACCATGTACATAGTAGTGTACGTTTTGTTTTGTACATTTCAACACAATCATCGGTTGTTTTTGTGTGCACAGTGTTTGTCAGCAAAAGTACACATATGTACTTCTCACTTCCTTGGTACTTTTCAAAAGCACAATTTTGGTGTCGGCGTATAAGCCCATGTTCTTGTATAAGCCCACCGAAATGTCCTTGTGAAACAGATCAGCCCATGGGCTTATCCGCGGGATTCTACGGTACACACATCATAAGCATGATAAGAGCGACAGTTCGACTTCAAGAGTAGTGACTACACCCAATTTTCAACTTGCTCCGATCGCTTCGATTTTGGTCTCACTCGATTCTCCCAGGCGTAGCACATAGGCACTCTGAGCAGCAAGTATTATTCAAATCGGCCCGGCCATTCTTGAGTTATAGTGATTTGAAGTGCGCCAAGTTGGACTTTTGCTGGAAACAGAAATGAATGGAAGAGGTGGGAGAATCAAGACGACTGCACAGTCAGTGCATGCAGCAGGTTCGTCGCACCGGCTTTGTAGGTGGGGCGGCCACGGAAGGGCGGTCCGGGGGCCCTCCCGCTGGAAAAAATTCAAAATTGAAGCCAATTGCAAACATTTCCGGGCATTTTGTGCCATTTCAGTGTAACTACGATGAAAGTTTTTTGATTCTGCAACAAACTATTAAGGAAGACGCTACGATCAGGGACAAGGATTCTTCATTACCCTCCCCCGGGAAAAAATTTCAAAAATTGAAGCCAATTGCAAGCATTTCCAGACATTTGGTGCCATTTCAGTGAAACTTCAATGAAAGACTTTTTGATTCTACAACAAACCACGATCAGGTACAAGGATTCTTTCAGTATTTGCCACGTTTGCGCTGAGCTGCGATCATCGCGCTTTGCTGCAATGTTCTAAAAAAAAAAACGCTGAAAAAGTAGAGCGGCTTCAGCCGCCCCAGCTGTGACGGGCTTGTGCAGCAGTGTACAGTGCATACACTTCGTCACTCGAAATGCGCGTACGGCACTGCATACTTTTGTATGCTGGTGCAGAACAAATTCGCTCGGAGAGGAAGACGAAAGCGTCTCACCGCCTTGTAATTTCACATGGCCAGCAGTTTTTTCGACGCTGAAGACGATGGAATAGTCCGCGACGATGCGACCCGACCATAACAACCTGAAATTCACACTAAAGAAAAAGCGCTGAGCGCAGAGCTCCTAAATTTTGTCGTATGGAAACGGGACTTCGGGTCTCAAGGGCACGAACATCTTCTCTCTCAGATAAAACAATACACTCGATGCGATTTATACAATTTGACCTGGCCACACCGAAAAGCACTGTGATGTCGGATTCCGCCATCGGAAGTATAGAAACTTGTTTCCAAAAAATCAGCGTCTGGGTGCGAGGGAGTAAAGCCAATATCAAGAGTTACCGGCGCATGGGGCCTGAATTGTACTTGCTGATACTTTGCTGCAACGCCTGCTGGCGCATGTTTATTAATAGCTTGTTGGGCAGTGGCACAATGTATGCAGCATAGACCTTTCACGGCTGTTAGCTGCACTTGGATCGCGACAACTTAGTTTTCTGCACGTGAACCATGCAAAATCAATGCATGCTCATGCATAACCAGTCAGCTGGCTTGCTCGCCCACGCATTTGACAGGTAAAATTCCATCAAATTTGAGATATCGCTTCGTTCTAAGTCTCAAAACAGTTCTAAAGTCACCAAACTACGCTGGTAATCGATGGCTATTCAATGTTTTAAAAACAACTTAACATCTTCAGGAAGACTTCAGCTGTTTCCAGAGAGTTTGGGCATTGTTGCCGTTATTTTCCACGGTGTTCTTCTTCCTCCTGTCTGGAGCTGCAATTGCATCCTGGAATTACTTGAAAGGTATTTCGTGCGGGCTGTGGGGGGTTCCAACAGGCATGAACTGACATCGTTAGGCCACACGTTTTTATTTCTATGTTTCTCGTCACCTGAAAATCTAAAAACGTAGGCGAGAGGTGGAAAAAAAATGACCGAAAAATAAAAAAAAGTTTATTAGACCTTTGTTCACACTAAAATTCACCAATACACCATGCAAAATAGCATCCATAGTTAGCAACTAGTATGTGGTAGGAGCGTCTGTCACAATCTGTGCATGTGCAGCTAGATTGCGCACAATAATTATTGGTGACCTCGCATCATGTGTCGAACAGCCCAGGCCACATTATGTACATGTGCATGAGTGTGCTGGTCCCCACATGCACAGTCAGTGCAGCACATTTTTTTCTTTTTTTCCTCCAGACTCCTGAATCGTATGCGCGCGGGTGACGAGAAACATAGATATAAAAACGTGTGGCCTTATAGGATAACTGGTAACTTTCACCCTTCAAGGAGGTAGAGCAATGAAAATTTGTTTGTGGTGGTCGTCCAATTTTTGTGGCGGTCGTGGCTGTATTTGTGGAGTTCGAAGGCTTTCATTCTGCCTGATACTACTCTCTACTGTATTGGAATTGTTGTTTAGGCACCTGTAGCTGTCTTATTTGGTAGATCTGCTGTTTTCAGTCACTTGGGACACTTTGTCTAGCATATTATCTTTGTCTTTCGTTCGTGCCATCTATCAGTTCCGTGGGGTGCCTAGGCCTGTATTTGTGAAGTTCTCGAGTAAGACTCTAATTCTTGACTGGAGTCACGACTTGAATTGTGTTTGCTCGGCGAGCCCTCGTTCACGCAGTTGTCCTTATCGTAATAGTCAATATCTGCTTGCTGGGCGGACTAGCGGCTAGCATAGGGATGACCCGTCACCGAGTGGTCCAAGTGTGTACACGATTATTGTTTCCATCATCGTGAAATGAGCGTTGCGGAATTGCAGTCGTCTGCCTTTGGCACTGAGGACCTGAGGAGAGTTGATTGTTACTTCTACGTAGCAATGAAGCGATCATCAGCTCTCTTTGTTCTAATTATTGAGATAAGATACCAGCATCGCATTCAAGTAAAGATTAGGCAAACCTCGCCAACCTCCAACAAGAGTCGAAGATATTTTCTCCAAATGCAAAGACGATCTTTGCGAGTTTGTGACTTGCATTTGCGTGCATACATGAGCAAGTCACGGACCACGGCACGTGCGCGGTTACCATGTCATCTCGAACCGACGCCATCTTTCTAAGTTGCCACTTCTTGACAGCCGTGCTTTCTCTTCCTTCCTTATTAACGCCTTATTTAAAAAAATTAAAAAAATCACGGTTCCCGTGGCCCAGTTTTCCGCATCCGCAGGAACGCCACCACCCTCTTGGACCAAGGCGCAGATGCAGCTCCTAAACGGTGGGAGGTGAGTAGATCAGACCCACCGTAAAGTGGTCAAAGACCGAAAATCCCATTCACTGCATCCATGTTTCCCTCGTACCAGACCACGAGTTCCCAATTAAAAAATCCTTCCGCTTCCACGCAGGACTTGCACCTGGTACCCTTTGTTTCTCAATCATGGTCTTAGCCCATCCCACTATGCCTGCCTGTTATTTAACCCTTTAAGAGCCACAGGAAATTTTCAAAATTCTGCATTTTTTCGTGTTCCTTGGATCATAGCTTCAGTTCTACTCACTCAATCCTCACAATCTAGGGCTTCCTGGAAAGGTCTCCGCGAGAGGAAGAGAATTAGGTCGATCATGATAGCCAGCACACCGTCTATCCAGCGCTAGATCGCAGCGACAGCACGAAAAATGCCCCAAATGCGTCCAATTGCGTCCCGCTCCAGATATTTCATTTTGCTCGATCGTGGAGTTCCAATTTTTTCGCTGTGTACTCTTGACAATATCAACAGTGAAACCCGTGCAAATTCGAGTAAACCAGCGTGACGAAAAGTCTCAAAATTCTCAATACTAAAGTCGCACTGCGCGCTTTTGAAATTGCCGCGATCGCGGCTCAACTTACGAGTGATTTATCTAAGGAACCGTTGCTCGCAGCGCTTCGCGGATTGTTTCTCCCGACAGGTGAGAGTTTTCTCTTCGCCCTGGATATTTCGATCACTGGATTTGAGCTAGATTGGACTGAGTTACGATCTTTTGAAGTTTTGCATTTGAATGCGTCGTTTACGACGCATTCAAGTATGGAGCGGCTCTTAAAGGGTTAAAACTTCAATGAAATAGCTAGGCCTCTTTTACGGGCAAATTAACACAATAGAGAGGTTAAGTTTCACGTAAAATTCTTACGTCCGTGAACTTTTACGTCAAAAATTAAAAAAAAACTCACGTAAAATTTGACGTGTTTTACGTGAGTTGACTGTCCCGCACGCAAGTTGGTGACGTGGGTTTTTGGAAGTTTCGCTTGGTTATCCTGATCGAATTTGTGTGAGTTTCCGAAGTTTTATCGAGTTTGTTCAGTGGAAGATTTGATATTTGTGTGAACTAAACCCTAATCCTGCCAGGCAAAATTTCACGTCACGTCGCACGTGTACTTAACCTCTAAAAATTTACACGTAACGTGAGATTTGCACCGCGTTTTGAAAAAAATCTGCGCCTTGATCCTTGAAGGGTGGTGGCGTTCCTACGGATGCGGAAAACTCGGTTTCCAGCCGAGTCTCACGCGAACCGTGAAAAAAAATTTTTTTTTAAAGGCAAAAAACGTGTACATGTAACTTAACACGATGTGAAAGAAGTGCTGTGTTCAATGCTGTTAGTGCCGTGAACTATTTATCGCCCTTCTCATGCATTTCCCGAGGCTGACTGTGCCTAGGAAATGGTTTCCTCCAGGACAAGATGCTTGGAATTCGCCATCTCTCCTGAGACATTTTCAGCAAACTTTCAAACCTACGACATTATTTCATTCGTCAATCTCCACCACCCGTCGTCTCACCTGGCTTCAGAAGATGTTACGAGAGATAGGAGAGTCGCCAGGAAGCATCACATTCATCTTCAGGAAGTGGAAAGAGCAAACGGCATGGTCATTGGTTGGGGGAAATGCTGAACGTCTGATTTGTCCCAACCAAGATTTTAGCATTTTGTTCGTCACTATTTTCACTTGTCTGCTGGTGTCTCCGCAGTCCAGCTTGCTCCTGTCGGTGTCACGTCCCAGTACACAACCGAGAGGACTACTAACAAACAGTTCACTGCACTAATAGCATTGAACACAGCCCTTCTTTCACTTCGTGAATTAAATACAATAAACCAATTGAAAATGACCAAATTCTGCAGTGATCGACTTTCTCTGTGGTGGAGCTAAGCCTTTCGTACGTCATCACTGCGCTGGTCGCTATGGCAACGTAAGTAAACAATTGGCGATTTGGCAAGTTTGGCTTTTCGTATGGAAGCGAGCGATATGCCATTCGAACCGATATCAAATTGTCTTTCTTCTGGACCATACTCGAAAAATCGATGCACTTCCCCTTAACCTCTCTAATGAAATAGCTTGTAGCCCGAGTTTACCGTTGAAAAATCAAATACAGAATACATACAAATTCCAAATTGAAAGGCAGCAAAACTCTGGACATTTGAGGCGACTCCCTTGCACTACCTGTTAGTAACTAAAACTTACTACTACCTTACAGCTACACACCACGATTATTAGGAAGCCTGAAAGCTGACGCACTACATGCAAAAGTACTCGCGTGGACCAACAAGCGTACTAGTACTTGGACAGACTTACCTACGCAAGGCACGATTTTGAAGACCCAGCCTTGCAGATTCTAACTGGACACTTCAGAGGTCAACGAAGCCTGCCAGCTGCACCGGCCTACAATGTACCTTCTTCAACTACAGTGCTGCTCTATGCAAATGTTGCCCGGAAACTTTTGTTCTTGGTGTCAGTCCTGGCACGACTGAAATTCAAACAGCAAAATCTGAAAACGACGCCACGCCGAACGAGCGGCTAGTACAAGATTGTGTAGTCTGCACTTCCGTAACATCTGTAGATCTACACGTTTTATTGTTTGTCTGAGCAACGATGAAAAATCAAATTTGCTTCCGAAGTCTCCAGTTTTGGCAACAGTACATAGACCAACTCCTGGTTTGGGTCCATTTTTGCATGATGGAGCTGTTGTACTACACGCGGTGTTGCATAAACGGTGCGCTTCATTTCACATAGATCTACGGGAAACCCATCCTGACGCCCATCGAGGCAAAAAGAGGCTTGAGTTCAGCAGATACATGCATGTTCGACATCACAACTGGCAACCACTGCGTGGTCTGACTCTGAGCCATACTGTCCCGAATCCCGATCCATCGACCCTCGGCGCCTCGCTACTACACTCTACAGAGTACCGATATGCAACAACCGGTTGCTGCGAAGAAGCTTCCGGAAAGTCCGTCACAATGGCCAAGCGTGTGTGGCCACAAAGCCAAAGCCCCATGGCCCAGAAAGGATTCAAGATAATCACCCATGCATGTATCCGGCCGCATCATGTCATGCTGCCATACTGAGATCCACGTGAACAGGCCATACAAGGGTGTTTGTTCATCTATCGCGGGGGAATTGGCGGATTATGCTTGGTAGATAATTGCTGAATTATGCTTTCCATTATGGCCGTGATTACTAGTATGCTACATTATGCTGGAATTATGCCAATGATGGTGCCAAAATCGGTCCCAATTTACGCAATTGCACCACAATATTCCCGCAATTTTTGACGCAATCCGCTTCCCCGCACTTTGTGGCATTTCACCTCGCAACTTTTTCTGCCAAATTTCCGAATTATTTCTGGGCAGGTTTCTGTACCTGAAACATGACCTCTGTACACTGTACATGTACCCTTGCACTCTTGTTGCACTTTGAAACGTTACAACGACTCTGGCACCATGACAGCACGTAACATTCACCAGATGTTTCCTGTATAATGCCTACGTAGTAAATATGCCTAAAAAGTCTGGTCTCAGAAGTCCTTTTATGCCAGGGCAAGACAAAACTCGAATACCATGAAGAAAAAAGATGGCAACATGATAGATGGCAGCATAATTATGACCAGACAGAGGAGGGAGGAGGACACGCTGCACTGAAAACAGTACTCCTCAGTCCTGACAGGAGCCGTAAAATACCTTCAAACATATAAAAAAATTATTATCACGTGCTTGTTGCCATTACATTACATACTTGGCAACTTGGTAATGCCATCCGATCCGATGGCCAATCAGCATCGATTTGTACCAGGGCATAAATTTTGTGTATTGCCGGGCCTCCTACGGCATGGCAATGCCCTGCCACACGGTCTACCTAGTACCTATGACCATGATGACCTCCAATGCCCTGCTACGGTGCAATACTTCTATATCAAGAGTCCATATAACCCCACTCTGTGATTTTTGACGTTATGTTGCAATTCCGTTGTGCGGATCCCCATGTACAGAGTTGCACACTCTTGGCCGGGGTTATGGACTCTTGATAGCAGGGAGTAGTACAATACCACTCCCTGCTTGATACCATACAAACTAGTACATGTATTTACTACTCGCTGCAGCGCTCGTTCCCGACTATGTCAAGTACAACGCACATGTACAACCGGAGACAGGCTGGAAGAGCCCCCCCCCCCCCCGTCCTTAGCCCTTGTTGGTGGAAAGCAGATCAATTGGCAGATTTTGGTACCGTTTTTCTGGTACATGTTTCATGCAAGTGTTAACCGGGTGTTAAAAGCGGCCGTCGTGAGTTCCCTTCGGGAACGGACGCGATAAAGCCGATAATTCACTTTCTTTCATGCAATTTTCGTTTGTGGATTAAAAAATGGAGCTGCTGCACGCGGCAGACTTCGCACACGGGGCAGACTTCAAGGAGGCGCCTGCCATAAGGCTTGTATGCCGTGGGTTCCGCCAATTTCACTGCTTTTCGAGTAGAATCTGCCTTGGGAATACAGTGTACATGGTCATGGGATGTACGAGATGGCAGCCCAGAAATATGACGCAATGGATGGTCTGGGTTAGAGGTCAATGACAGTCTACATTCTAGTCGCCGGCATACGTACGACGATATCAGGGAGTCATAAAACTGAGGAAACCTTACTACCAAGTAAAGCAAATATTACATGAAGTCTGCTTCCAACAACAGTGATTCCCATGGAAACGAGTTCTGTGACTATATCCGCTTGTCTCACCAGCACTACATGATAACTTGGCCAGGTGCCACGCATCTTTGCCTTAAACTAATGAGTAAGGAAAATAACAAGCCCCGGTGACGTGGGGCTTTCGTGACGCTGTTCACGAACGTTATTTTTGGGCGGGGTTCAGAGCGTCCTTGGGTTTGACTCGCCTACTTTGCGGGACGCCCTTGTGTGTGCTCTCTCCGACTGTTCCGATAAAATCAACAAAGATAATTCAGAAGATTGCCTCTGGAAGCGGACATCATTTTTGCTGCTTGCAAAGTTATGGGGCTCCCGCCGTCCCGGCAGCATATAATCGGATATTGCATATTGCATTTGCCGGTGAACCGAAAGGCCATGCCGGGGTTCGAGCCCCACCCATGCAGTCGTACATCTGACTACAAAATCCTCATGACGCAGCTCACCAAATCAAGGTACTATGAAGCATCGTCACTCACGCAATCTACCTACTGTTCTGTTTGCTGATGGTGGAAGCTCCTTCTTCGGGGAAGACCGCAGGGATTTCATCAACTTGCACAGGTTTCACTGCGAGGCACCAGTTGCGTCGCCACGCATGGTTGCCGATAAAAGGCGGATTTTTTGTTCTCTCAGTCGTATAGAGGTTCTATATCTGCATTACTGTGGATAACTGATACCCAACGATATGCCGTGACACAGTCACGGTGTCAGTGCTTCCATGTTAGTGGGGAGTGTTAGTAAGCCTCAACACACAACGCTCATTTCTATTCACTGCAGGATCAGTGGAATGCCTCCTTCAAAAACGTTAAAAGAAACAATATAAAACAATCAAGGCAAGAGGAATGCAGGCCACTACAAGTCATGATCTACAGCCATGCATAGAACATCATCAGAAGAAAGCGAAAAGATAAAGAGCTGCAACAATAATATTCACTTGTCAACAATTAAAAGCGAAGCTGATGAGGACTTAGAAGGGGGTGCAGGTGAGTTAGGACACATACAAGTCTTTCAAATAGGAATAATACCATGCAGCGTTGCTATGCTGCAACAAAACACCGGCACAGTACTGTCGGTCGCCGAAGAACTGGGGGTCAGCCTCCTAGCCTCCTAGCCTAGACCGTTCATATTTTTCATGTACATGTATTACAGTCCATGCGCACTACTGAGTTGCATGAGTCACCGTGTATACATTGGTATGCTGTGCTTGATGGATTTCTAGCCTGGTCGTTCTTCGGCGCCCGACAGTACTGTAATGCCTATAACAGCAGAGCATAAGGTGCATTGCAATTTTCTTACTGCAATCCCATACCTGAGGTGCATGTACATGTCACGCTTTCAATATGCATACAATCATGTACATGTCTTTTACATTGTGTACATGTACATGGGTACCAACTTATCTAAAGCATATCCTTTCTCAGCACATGTACAACGCTTCCGCAGTCATCAGCGCTGAGAGTACCCGCATCGGTTTATAAGGTTGCGGAGAGCTTTGTCAGTGCGCGGCTTGAAGATGCTTTGATCATGCAGAGTCAGTAGCCTCTGCTGTTCATTGCAGACGGCTGTGATCATGTACCATGTGTCATACTTCGCCAGCGGACACGGGCAGCCGTCTTCCAGTCTCAACTGCACGGTGACATCATATCTATCAGTTGATGGCAGGAAACTGCACCGAGCTGAGCGGTAGAGCTCCGAGCGAACACGCATTTTGAAGGTCACGTGTTGATTATTACTGCAGTCTTCTGTGTCCCGTCTTAGCCGGGCAAGTATTGCTGTAAGTGCCAGAGAAACAATACAACACAGGGATGAAGTCGATAGTGCTTTTAAAATACTAAAAACAAAGAATTAGTTGCAGATCGGGTACAATGTGCATCAGGATGATGTTGATATGCAATACGTATTTCTGCTGATGTTCTTTCTCGATAGTGCTTGGAGGCACTTTTCACGTTTATGGTACAGCTACTTCAAGTACATTGTACATTGTACATGTACAGGAGTCACATTTCACTATCTTGCGTGTAGAAACAGCCCGCGACACAGGTATGACAGTAGTAGTAGCAGCAGCAGTAGCCAAGGCACACGACAGATCCACTTACCGATGTCCGTGTTACGTAAAGCTCCTGCGGCACATGCGTGAATTGGCCGGATCCCCTCCTGACTGCAGGGAAGACGATCTACAGTGGGGGCATGCAGGAATAGCAGTGCGGTACAGATAAGATGAGCCCTCCAAACAAGCAAACATGGACCTGGTCATTCCTGTTTTTTTGTGGTTGATTAAAATGCATTTGTGGTCCCAGAAATTTGGCTAGTCTTGGTTGCAGCATTGATTCGATTGATCCTGAAAGCATGCGTGCAGATGTGAAAACGTGGAGTCAGCCTGATTGACTCTCCGTTGACCTGCAGATATGCATGCTTTCATGTGGCAAAACCAAGGTTACTATGCACGCTTGCATCTGGCAGACCAAGGTTACTATACATGCGCACCTGATACAGTGCATCCGACATCCACTCGTCTGCTTTTGTTAAATAGGCACAGGGCATGTCTCCAAGCCCGTAGCCGTTTTGGCCAGCAAACAGCACCAGGCAATCAAATGTAGTTCACCAAGTGCAGAGCGCACCATGCGTGGGTAGTATCTGGGTATGTGTGCCATGATTGCATGCAAAACCCGTATACAGTCAGACCTCGCCTATCCGGTCCTCTTTTATCCGGATCCCTAGCCATCCGGAAGAAAATAGCTGGTTACAGATTTACAGCATACGTGATGCATCCGATATGACCGGCGCTCGGTTATCCGGTTCCCTCGCCTATCCGGATATTTTCGTGGAAAACGGATGTGTGCAGTTAACCGATGTCTGACTGTATGAGATTATCAAGAAGAACTTGGCAGCACCCGAGTTTTCTGGGCCTTTGCCAGTAGACCACTCTCCCTTTTAGCCTTTAGGTCATCCTACAAGAAAGTGGAGGGCACAGCCACTGCCGCATACTGGCAACATCACTGCTATCAGTTCAAAGTTGTGACTAGTGATTGTGGTGATTTATAGACCGCAAAGTCGTCAGCACGTGCGAGAAATTCTAGTGAATGTTGTTCTTGATTGCAGATGGAATGGATTTATGTTTAGCCTGAAAGACGAAAAGTAGCCTGTTTCAACATCCACCAGCTGTATCAGTGACAGCAGCAATAAAATGAAGAGGATCCTGCTTTAAAAACACAGGTTAGGAGCGTGAAGAAGTATACTATACTTAGGCTGCGTTTACATGAGAATTTTCAACCCGGGTCGAGTTCAGCCCGGGTTGAAAGTCTGTACGATGGACAGAATAGGCGAGCGTTTACATGAAGACAGTTGACCCGGGTCAAATACTGTTACAAGGAATAATTTGCTTCCAATCTTTTGCATAGCAAAATCAAACTTGAATAGCAATTCGAAAATGTTGCATAGCAATTTTCTTCAACATTTGACAACATTGTCCTGGAGAGCTGATCAGAGTGAAAGCTCAGACCACAAATACACTGTAACACCTTAGTTGCAAACCTAGCCTGGTGCCACGATGCCTAGCTCAGCACGTTCGAAGCTTCGTACATCTATTTCATCCCTAAGAGACACACCTGGCTGTGGCATGCACACTGTGCATCATAGGGTACAGTGAAAAATCAACATACATTGCAGTTCATGATATATCTGAAATTGCTTCGCACTTCAGAAGAATTGCGTAGCAAACTGCGATGCGATGCCGGTTAAATTATTCCCTGACTGATATGCCGCCAAAAGTCCACTGCTAGAGTCCTGTATGGTCACGTGAATACTTTTGCGCGAAATTTCCATGTGCAGTGCTATTCAAATCTGGCGCGAGATGCGCACAGAAGTACGTTAGTACGATTTTTCGCCCAGGGTTGATTTCAATTTTCAACCCTCCCGTTGGAGGGGGGGGGGGGGGGGGGTTGAAATCAACTCGGGGCAAAATTTCAACCCGGGTCAAGCGCAATGCGTCATGTAAACGCGCCATTCATTTTGTGTACATGGCGGGTTGAAATCTGACCCGGGTTGAAAACTCTCATGTAAACACAGCCTTATATGATATCGGCACTCTTGAACTAAAGTAAACTTCTTGCCCTCATTTCAATGTCTAGATAGGTATGTTTGACCACATCACTGTTATGTTCATGTGTTGTGGGTTTGGTGGTGGGGTTGACGAGTTGCACACGAGTAGATTCGATTCTAAAGAAATAAGTTATGCTTTCACACATCGCCTAGGCTGTATCCACCGGTACTTGAGGCACTAGCCTAACGGACCTGTCTGCTTGCATGCTGTGCTCACCTTCTGAGCTGCACCTTGCAGGCGGACACTGTGCAACGCCTACAGTCAAACAAACCAGGCACACACACAACTCATGAGCCATTTCAAGTTTCCAAGGCCCGGCAATAATTATATGAATCAGATACTAGTACAGGTGGAATCCTGATCATATGGCTTAATTCGAACATACCGCTTAATTAGAAGTTTTTCCAGGACCGATTTCTATCAATACGATTCCCACATAAAATATTCTGATAATTCGAACCCCGAACTGGAGATGTCCGGTTAATTAGAAGTCCCACAGATTCCACTTACATATAAAATGTGTAGGATTTGTGCTGATAATTCGAAGTTAGCAAAGTGTAATTCAAAGTTTACTGTACACTGTACTGGTCAGTGCAGTTTGCATGAGCGGGCTGTGCCGGTCAGTTCAGCATCCGTGAAATCGGTGTCTAAGGCCCATAACGCATCTCTGCGTGACCACGAGAGCATTTTGACATACATATTGTGCTGTGGGTTCATGTTTGGATAATTAGAATGTCCGGATAATAAGAAGTCTTTTCCTGGCATTTTGAGGTTCGAATTATCAGGATTCCACCTGTATCTGATTGTCTGTATCACTACAACCGTAACATACGAGCCTTGATAGAAGCCAAAATGCTTGACAGTAAGCAAATATTGCGAAGGAAAGAGAAAACACAGTTTGGTTTAAGGGAAACATGCACACGGGAAAAATCTGAAGAAAAAATTGGCTGTCACCACCAGGACTCGAATCAGGTACCTTCGCTTGAGGCCAGCGATGCTCTAACCAGTGAGCTATGGTGTAGCTGTCATCATACCGTTCAACTTCTTCTTCGGACTTCCAAAAAAAAGAGAAGGTATAGTTTTTCAAAAAAAAGAGAAGGTAAAGTTTTTTCTTTGAAGGATATGTTGGTCCGATCGTCGAGTGCTGTACGTGTGTGTCCCCATGAGAAGCAGCGATCGGAGGTGAAGAGAGGGAGAGGTCGACCAATGGAGTGCCGTGCATGTGATGCGAGTATGGTGGATAGTCAGTGTTTAGTCAAAGGTGTTGTCTATTGTATGTCTTGCACGTTGTGTGCGGAATTGTACGTTGGTGAGACCGAGCGGCCGGTGAGGGACCGATTCGCTGAGCACTACCGAGAGGCAAGGACGATGGTGGCGAAGGCTCCCTGGGGCTTCCACTATCGTACCCAGCATCGAGAATCTTCAAAGTCTTCCAACTTTCTGCCCTTCCACCAGGCAAAGATTCTCGGCAGGGAGGCTTCGCTACCATCAAGGAAACTGCTTGAAGCTATCGAGATAAGGAAGCGCAAACCAGCAGTCAATTGCGATGACGGCTGGCGCCTAATTGACTGATTGGATGTCACCGGATCGTCACTGGAATCGACACCCATCTCCTCGAACTACCACTGGACTTTACCACCTGACACAGCACATACACCGCTGTCATATACATAGATCGCCTTTAGCATTCCCACACTTGAAAGTGTTCTTGTACGTGCTGTGATCATGGTGATAATCATACTAGTCTTCTTTCTTCTGTTTAGGTAACCTTACAGGTGATGATTGTAAACTTCAGTGTTAGTGTTAGTTTTCTTGCCAAATTGTGTCTGTGTGTATGTGTGAGTTTTCTCATCTTTCGTTTTGTTTAGGTCACCTTACAAGTGATGATTGTTTAGTTTGCTGGCCTTGCCAATTGTGTCACCACGATGTGTTAGTTCTAGAACATTCATCTGCCTGCATTATTCGTCTTTGTACGTTGGTGAGACCGAGCGGCCGGTGAGGGACCGATTCGCTGAGCACTACCGAGAGGCAAGGACGATGGTGGCGAAGGCTCCCTGGGGCTTCCACTATCGTACCCAGCATCGAGAATCTTCAAAGTCTTCCAACTTTCTGCCCTTCCACCAGGCAAAGATTCTCGGCAGGGAGGCTTCGCTACCATCAAGGAAACTGCTTGAAGCTATCGAGATAAGGAAGCGCAAACCAGCAGTCAATTGCGATGACGGCTGGCGCCTAATTGACTGATTGGATGTCACCGGATCGTCACTGGAATCGACACCCATCTCCTCGAACTACCACTGGACTTTACCACCTGACACAGCACATACACCGCTGTCATATACATAGATCGCCTTTAGCATTCCCACACTTGAAAGTGTTCTTGTACGTGCTGTGATCATGGTGATAATCATACTAGTCTTCTTTCTTCTGTTTAGGTAACCTTACAGGTGATGATTGTAAACTTCAGTGTTAGTGTTAGTTTTCTTGCCAAATTGTGTCTGTGTGTATGTGTGAGTTTTCTCATCTTTCGTTTTGTTTAGGTCACCTTACAAGTGATGATTGTTTAGTTTGCTGGCCTTGCCAATTGTGTCACCACGATGTGTTAGTTCTAGAACATTCATCTGCCTGCATTATTCGTCTTTATATTTCGTAACTTGGCCTCCCCTTCCTCAATGCCCTGATGATGCCCAATGGGTGAAATATTGGCAAAGTTATTTATTTGGTGCAGCTGAGAGCCTGTTGCCGGAATGGCGGTGTTTTCAAGTGCAAGGAATACGCTGCAATGGAGTTTTGGAATTCTGAAGAAACGTAAAGTTTATCTCGAAAGTAAAATACGTCCTGGAGTGGCTGCAAGGCAAGATATCCACTAGTAACTTACAAGCAGGCACAGCATTGCTCCAATTTCCCGTTTGCTGGCACTGAGTCTGTGCTTCTCCTCTCAACCGATAGCCTTCGTCACACGTGAAGGCTGCAGTGCTTCCTACACTGCGGTCGGCCACGGACACTGCACCGTTTACAATGCTAGCTGGCGCAGGACATTTGACACCTATTGCAGCATACAACAGCACACAAGGGTAGTATTGTCTATATCATGACTTAGCCACCTGTTATCTATAAAACATGCCATGTGATCAATTCTACAAAGGGAGACGCACAGAAAAGGGTAGAGCCATAATGATCCTCCCTGTTCCGTTCTTTCCAGTTTTTTGGACTTTCGCAATTGCAAGGTATAGAATATATGTAGGACTCAGTATAGAGTCCATGCACTATATGATGTCCAGTACCCTATATAGAGTCCATTGGTCCAAAATCCACTATACAGAGTCCAGGAGTCCACTCAGTTTTGATCAGCTTCATCCTGCCGCGGAATCCCCTATAAGGAGTACACTTTTTCTACAAGTCCCCTATTCACGGTCCAGGAGTCCAGTTTATCCAGTCACGCCGTCCTGTGTGTTGTGCCCGAAAGAGAAAACACCTTTTCAGTTTTGCTTGCCTCATGGCAGCGCATTCCTTTCTTCACTTCAGCCATGGCTGCCAGTTCTGCTGTGCAGTTGCTGACAGTAATCTGTCTCGAGGTAACCAAGGAGGATAAGGAGACGTTCAAAATCAAATCTGGAAAGCGTCTTGTGGTTCTCTGAAGACGTTTCATCCGTGCGCGGGATGAAAGCAGAAATTGCAGAACGAGAAAAGTTCAGCACAGTTCAAATCTGACGAGTCAGGTACACTGACACTCTCTTTCGTTCGACGCCACAAGGATCCCCTGTTTGGCTGGCCATTGCTGCCAGGAAGGCGTTTGAACGGATTCATCAGAGCGAGGGATGAAAGCAGAAAGCGGAGAACGAGAAAAGTTCAGCACAGTTCCAATCTGACGAGTCAGATACACTGACACTCTCTTTCGTTCGACGCCACAAGGATACCCTGTTTGACTGGACAAGAGCTGCCTGTACCACCGTGTCAAAAGGCTGTCCAACTACATGGCAGGACGATGACTGAGGTAAGGAAGCTTTTACTCGTTTCGATTGGTCTGCTGTGTAGGCTGTCGTTATGCTTGAATTTTTTTCCATTTTCAAGGATCGTATCGCGTTTTTGTTTGATGTTGCTTGAATGAATGCCATAAAAGTAATCAACCACTTCGTAATAGTCCTCAAGGACTGCAAGGACTTTGCATCAATCGTATACGATCGTCTAGATATCATCAATTTTTATTTTATTTCATGAGAAAAGTATTTTTATCCCTGTGATAATTATGTGAACTCCACGACACTCTTCCTCTACTACTAGGCTCTAGTATGATGTCAAATACAATGGGATCCACAAACGCAGTGCCAGTGTACCGTAGTAGTAGTAGGAGGATTTCTTGTATGCCGATGACAAGAAAAAGCTTCTCAAGCTAATACATGTACTCGTATTCCATGAAGTAACCGTTTTGATGTCACAAACATGACATTGTGTCAGTGAAACTGCCTCGTGACAACAAATCATTGCTTTTCCATCTTGGGGAGGACTGACTGACTGCAACGCTGTACAGATTGTTTAAATCATCTCATTTCAATTTAGGTGCACTGAAGTGAAACACTGTGTACACTACATGTATGGTGGTGTGTCTGTGCGTCTTGAGTGTGCACAAACAATCTTATTCCTCGTATTACTAATAGATTATTGTCCCCACCGTCGCCTGTTCACAGGTCTTTGTGTGGATGGATTTTCATTGAGCATCACATTCGTTGAGAACTTGGTAGATATGTGATCCCATGCATCATTACGGTAATAAGCGTATCCTTGTGCTATATATTTGTTGCAGGTGTGCTGATCTTCAGAAGCTTGCGGAACTGAGTGCTGCTGAACATTTGCATGGCCATGAGCAATGGTGAAGCTTGCTATTGCACTCTCAGCATGTGCTAGTATTATGCTGACTACTGCACTATGTTACTCTCTTACACTACTACATGTATGTAAACGTGCGTGCATCCGCCCACGTATGCATTCGTTTCGTATAATTATTTGTTGTCCCTCTTGACTTAACGTGTAAATGGGTGGACGTTTGTATGGCTGTTGGAGTTGCTTGTGTATTGTGTCTCTACTCTTTTCTTGGTGTTTTCTTGGCGTTGTATAAGTTTGTGTGTGTGTGTGTGCGCGCGCACAAGAATTTGAAAACAAATAATTAATCCTTGTCTCTCCATTATTCTCTTTCGATTCTTGTTTTTTTCTAGGTATTTTCTTGGCGTTGTGTGTGTATGTGCATGTGTGTGTGTGCGTGCACAATAATTTGGCAACACTACATGATTGAGATATTGTAATTTGCAGCGTCTGCGAAGAGACCACTTGATTTGAGGATGGTGTTTGTAGGGTTTTTCATGTAATGAAGTGGATGCAGTGGCGCCTCAATACTTATTTTTTATCTTGAGAAGTGAATGATGTAAAGGATTAAAGGGAGAGGCCGTTTTCTGGTTAATATTCACTGCTTACAGCAGATCCTATGTCTAATTTCGAACTCTGGATAGGGGATGCCTATATGGCTGGACTTTACACAGGGAGTGTTGTCCACATAAAGACTCCTTATATTTGATTTCAAAGTTTGGACTCCATACAGTTGATTTTGGACCAATGGACTCTATATAGGGGTGAAGCCAATTGGCTGGACTCTATACAGGGAGTGATGTCCATCTAAACTTTGAGCTCACAGTTGATTCCAAGTTTGGACTCTGTACAGTGGATTTTGGACCAATGGACTCTATATAGGGGTTGGACATCATATAGGGGCTGGACGCTCTACTGAGTCCAACATATATAGATAGTTTGCGCATATTCACTGACTATAACCCATTGTATGTGCGATATGATTACGATCGTACTAATAGCCA